GCTTATAATAGGAAGAAGACTAATGGGACGGTAGTTAGATGAGTCAGATCGCTCTCCAGAATTTTTAAAAATAGGGATAACAGAAGCTGCTTTCCAGCAGGCTGGAAAACAAGACTCTGATAAGCACTTGTTGAATAGTTGTGAAAAGATAGACAACAGCTCAGGAGAACACTTCTGCAAGACTATAACAGGTATGTTGTCCGGGCCGCAAGCTGTAGAAGAGTCTAAGCAGGAAATCACTTTAGATACAGAAGCTGAAGTGATACGAATGTCGAGCAATGGATCAACTTGTTTGACGGGTATATCAGGTAAAACGCAACTAGTGGCATCAAGAGATGATATTGATGAAAAGTTCTTGGCAAACAATTAAGCTTTGTCTTTAGGTGAGGTGACAAAGTCTGAACCGTACAAAAGAGGTGGAATTACAGACTTGCCCTTATTATTGATACTATTAAAGATTCTCCAGAAGTCACGAGAGCCTAATTTTTGTGATGAAATACGAGATTTCATAATCTGAGAATAGCGGGTTTTGGGGTTAGACAAAACCTTTTTACAATGGTTCCTAGCAGTAATAAAGAGACGTCTGTTTTCCGGAGAATTGTTTTGCTGATAGATATGGAAGTAATGGTTTCGATTGGCAATTGCATCAGCACAATGTGAGGAAAACCATGGAGAAGAGTGAAGCTTGACCTGGAATCGTCGAGAGGGAATAAAGGATTCCATGCCAGCCTGAATCCACGAAGTTATGTAAGAAGCACATTTGTCAACAGGGAGACGAAAGATTTCTACCCAGGGGCCATCACGAAGAAAGTCACGAAAAGAGTCCCAGTCAGCTTTAAGGTAGTTGTAAGATGTACGATGATAGGGGGATTCTAATGGTAAAGAAGAATGAGATAATAGTTTTAGAGAGACTAAACCATGATCAGACGCACCTAAGGGTGAGTGTGAAGAAACTGAACACTGACTAGGATCAGAAACAAGACATAAGTCGAGTAGAGAAGGTAAATGATTCGGGTTGTCTGGAAAGCGAGTTGGAAAGTTGACTATTTGAGTTAGGGATTGAGAAAGGCAAAAGTTGTGGGTCTTAATGCCTGCAGAGTCACTGACACTAGAGCCAAGCCATTCAGTGTGATGAACATTAAAGTCACCGACAACAACAATATTGGATGATGGATAAAGAATGAGGGCTTGGTCAATATAATCAGAAATAACATTAAGAAGAGTGCAGTCTTGGGATGAGGGAGAGCGATATAGAACAAAGAGAAAGGTGATAGAGTGAAGTCGTGCTAAACAAAAGCACATAAAAGAGTAGTCTGTGGATTCAAACCTAGTTTCCCGACTAATGGGTGAATTCTTACGAATGTAAATGTGAATGGAAAAAACGTTTTGCCAATCATAAGCAATCTTTTAAAAATAAAAAGTATTCAAAAGACACCATGCTGTCAAAATATATATGGGAATTAAAAGATAAAAATATTGATGATTTTACACTAAAGTGGTCCATCCTTAAAACAGTGCCTGCATATAACAATATTTCCAAAAAATGCATACTATGTCTACAAGAAAAATTTGAAATAGTTACACATACAAACCAAGAATGTTTATCAAACAAAAAATCGGAATTGATTTCTAAATGCAGGCACGAAAATAAGTTTCTCCTAAAAAACTATAAAAATAAGTGAGCTCAAATAATAGTTACATTAACTCCCCTTTGAAAAAAATATATTATTTTTTAAAAAAGCTTAAGTAATCATTTCTAAAGAATTCTTTTTACAATAGTGTCAGCAAATTACACAAATGTGTGAAAAATTGCAGCAGTTAAGACATGTGACTTCCTGTAATTTAATTTTTGGTATAAATTGAAGTTTTATTAATTTGATCATTCATTTCTGATGAGTCTTTATTGATGAAACACAGTGTTAAATGAGAAAAAATTTTGCTAAGTGATTTTCTACTAATTTATATATATATATATATATATATATATATATATATATATATATATATATATATATATATATATCCAGGAATAATTTGGGCATACCGGTCTAAAAGTTCTGCCTATCTTAGAGGACCTTTTTTTTTTTTTTTTTTGTTTATACTCAAATTTAAATACAATTCTTCGTATATAATATATAATGATTTATCGCTAATCACTACTTTTCATTTACTTGCTCCATACACTTACTATTTATAAATTAATGCTAATTATTAAATAATTAAATTCCAAATATTAAATATTATCAACTAGAAATAAAAAGAATATGATTTCATAAACAAACAATAACTATAACGTTTAATAAACAATATTTGTATGACTCTTTGATATAAACTTTATTACATAGCGTATTTAAAACAAGGTAAATTCATTCGAAATTTTAATTCATTCAAAAATTCATAACTTTTTTTTCTAGTTCTACTCTTACTATTGCAATAAAGTTTTTTGGCGCGAATTTAAATAAATGTTATTTTAATTTTATGTTTTAAAAAATTTTATTCGTTTTATTATTTAAAGTATTTTACAAACAATTTTTACTGTTGTTTGAAATGAAAAAGTTTAAAACTCATCTAGTTTAATTGCTTCGAAAATTATGTTATGAAAACGTAAGCGGAGGAGAAACTCATATTAATGTATTTTAAAATGTTATTTAAAAATGCTAAGCGTTTCATATTTTAATCCAATCAAAACGTGCGTTTTACATTTAATCCAATTGCAACATATTCTATATTTCATCAACGTGAATTCGAATTAAGCATTTTGGTTGGCTTAAAATACATTTATAATGTATTTTAAGTTTTAAAATACTTTTCTTTTAAAATACATTTATAATGTATTTTAAATGCGACTTTTAAAATACACTTATAATGTAATTTAAAAGTCGTTTTTCAAATGTTGATATTTATGTAATTGTAACAAATGCTAATATAAAAGTGTTTTAAATTGAGTTTGGGCTGAAATTTGGGGGCCCATACCGGTATACCGGTATCAAAATCGGCCTGGATACGTCGCTGATATATATAAAAAAATACTTAGTTTAAGCAAAAACACACACAAAAATATATTTATATATATATATATATATATATATATATATATATATATATATATATATATATATATATATATATATATATATATATATATATATATATATATATATAACGGCACTAAAACAAAACTCATCAAACTAAAATGCTTATTCTATTTAATTTACGCATTAAAAAACTATTTTAATCTTTGTTTCAACATTTTTATATTTTTTATTTGTTTAATATGTTCAAAAGTTAAATATTTCTCATAAAAAATACATAGTGATATAAATAAAATAAAATAACATTTTATAAATACATTTTTTTAAATTAATTAGAAGTTTGTTTTTTTTACTTCTTTAGAAGCGTTTCGATAATATAAAAGCATTTAAGATCAAACTTATTAAATTGTAACGGTTTTCTATAACTTTTTTTATTTGTTTATCTTTTTAAATGCATCAACTTTAATCATTCTTATATTTAAATTCGTTAAAGAGATTTTCGTAGTCGTAGAATGTCATCGTTCATAAAAACATTACAATTTTTTATTTTTTAATAAGATTTATTTTAGAAATGAACACTTAAACAATTTATATGTTTTAAATTAAAAAAATATATACAACTGTCAATTATATTTAAAAAACAAAACTTTTTTTCAGTAAATTTTTACTTTATTTAAAATCGATTTGCTAATATAAAAACATTTGTTAAGAAGTTTTGAAGTAATTAATTTTACTTTTTTAGAATATTTTTTATTTAGCGCGTTTCTAAAATGTTTTTTGAATTAGCTGCGGTCAAACCGACATAGCAAAATGTAACTTGCGTGGTCATATAAAGACGTGAAATCGCACGTCTTCCTGTGAAAGCCTGATATATATATATATATATATATATATATATATATATATATATATATATATATATATATATATATATATATATATATACTTACACTTGCCTATATTGCAAAATTTTATTGATAATTTTGGTTTTGTCTTAGATATTCATTTTTATTTATAATTTATGTTTCATCCTGGATAACCATCATAATATAGTTCTCAGTAATTTAATTTGTTTTAAGTTTTATAAAAATTGTGTAGAATTAAGTTGAAATTAATTTCATGCTTCTGCAAGTAAAGTTTTAAGTATAAATAATTTCTATTCTAATTTGATTTTTAAAATAGGAATAAAAATTTTGTGCTTGCTATTTTTGAGTTCTTCTCTTTTTAACTTTCTACAAGTATTTTTAAACACTTTTTAAAGCATAGATAATATTTTTTCTGTACTTATTCTGGTTTTTTTTTGTTGATTTTTAGTTTTTTGGAAATCAAAGATGTTTTCCAGAAATTCATGTTGAAAATTATATTTGTTCATTAAAGTCATTAAATGCTAAAAGCAGTTTAATGCTATGAAAAATTGAAGGGAGTGGTGGAAAAATTGAAGGGAGTGGCGAATTTTGAAAAGATTAAAGCAATTTATAAAAAAAATCTTTTGCAGTTGTTTTTAATAAAATGTTTTCTAGGTTAGTAAATTATGGCCATGATTATCTTGTCAAAAAGATCTTATTAATGGAAAATGCTAAATGATAATAAAAAGAAAGCAAGAAAAAGTAAAACTAAGACCACAATTGAGAGTTACATTGTAAATGACATCAGTTGCAAAAACATGACCATGTATAACTACTTGTATAAATTGTTAATGTTAATACAATTAAAATTTTTATAAATAGTTCTAATTGGTACCCATGATGTTTTTTTGCACTTATACTATATACTACACTGGTTTCTATGCAGGAATAACATATTGCACTTGAATTCAATGCAAGAATAATATATTGCACTTGAATTCAACATAAGAAGTTGTGTAGTCGACTTGTCATTTTTCATGCTTTGAGATAATGAAATAAATCTTTGAATCTTTTTTTAATTTTCGTCTGTCTTTTTTGATAAAGTTTTTTTTTTTTTCTTTAGGAAGAGGAAAGAATTACAAAGGAAGAACTCGTCATTTCACATCTGCTGAGGAAATTGATAGGCAGATGAATGATGATGAATGGAGAGTATGTTAAGTTTTTGTGAATAAATTTAAATAGTTGAGTTTAAAAGTAAAACATGAGTTTCTAATTATATAGTTCCAAAATTAAATATAAAAATTAAAAAAAATATTTGATAAACTTTTCTTTTAGTTTTGCTAAAAAATTATCTATCTATTTTCTACTATCTATTATGTACTACAAAATTATCTACTATCTAATGTCTAATATATTATCTACAATTTATTATCTACTGGATTTTTTTTTTTTTTTTTTTAATTTATTAAAAATTAAACACTTGAACTTATTTTAATTGATGAATTTAGGAAATTTAATTAGAAATTTCTAAAAAAGTTTATAAAAGGCACCACACATGGTTGTTTAAAAAAAATTATTTTCAATGGTTGTTTACCTCCCTAATGCCAAGAAACCCACTAATGACGAGGAGGCTACTTAATTGTGGTTATAACCCTCTCTCAACTCTATAACTTTAAAACACGAACCTTGACAAGCAAGGCCACTGGGCAGAGAAACAAGTTAAGTGGGTACTACCATGGATGTGGTGGGGATCAAACTTGAAACCATTTGTTTATGAAGCAAGCGCTCTACCACAACACCACTACTACTACATCACTACCTGTTTATTAAATATTAAAAAGAAACTTTTTAAATGTTTAAAGAAATGTTGTAGAATAAAAATAATCATCAAAGTAATTTCATCTTTCACCAAAAAGAGATAAGGATTAGGGTAATAATTAGTATCTGAATATTAAGGTCAATAAAATAATAGCGACATTTAAAAAATAAAGATATATTACCTATTTTTAATTTTATATCTAATCTTCTAAAGTATGTGCATCATTATTGTCTTTAAATTCTTGCCAATAAATAACTTAGAACAAATAATGTTTGTATAGGTTTTGTGTGTACTGTTGACTTATCTGATTAGTGTTTTGTTTATGTGGTATGCAAGCATAGTTTTTCATTTCCATTTCCTTAGTACAACAAATCCATCCAAGTTTGCTTACTAATCAGCACATAATTAATCTCAGATCGCTTTCAATTAGTTACTTCAGTTGCTTTGAATATATCAGTTGCCATCGAGGAACTTTAATTAGCCTAATTGGATGTTTTATGCACTATACATATTTAAATCATAAAATCTTAAATCATTCAGAACTATTCTAGGAAAGGAGTTTTTAGAAAAATTGCCTGTTACTTTAAACCAATCTTATACCCAATTCTGATTTTTATCATTTTTATTAATCAATTTGTAATTATTTAAACTATTTGTAATCAATGGCAAAAGTGCTTAAAATTAAATTTTTTTATATATTTTAGAAACTTTTTAAGTTGCTCCTCAGCCATTTTTGTAATTGAACAAAAAAATTACTAAAAAATATAAATGTGTAATATACAACATATGTATATACCTAATATATAATATATTTATACTACATAAAATGTCAAATATTTCAGTATGTGAAAATAATCAATAAAATTATTTAAGCAGTAATTGCCGAATAGAAAAGTTGAAAAAATAGTCAAATGTTACTAACTTAAAACTAAATGTTTTATCATATGAATTTTTAAAAGCAATAATTTTTAGAAAAAACAAGATGAAGCTAGAAACAGAAATAAAGAAGAAAATAAAAAGGAAAGTTCAGAAGAGGAAGAATCTGAAAGTGAATCTGAAAGTGAATCAGAGGATGAGGTTTTAATAATTTTTCTGTTAGATTTAAAAAAAATTTTCCTATAGAAATTTCAAATAAACTTTTACAGAAGATTTAAATTAGCGTTGATTTAAAATTGCTTGCCGTTAAACAGTTTATGTGAAATAGTTTTCTATTTATAAGCAAATAAACAATAACAATTTATTTATATTGATTTCTGGTAAGAATAAACAATTTTCTGGTAATATATAAACAATTTCTCCAATGTTTGCCTTTCTTAACTAAAAAAAACATCTTATTTACTTTGTTTAACAAATCCAACATTAACTATATTTTGAATCATTAGATAAAAATAATTTAAAAAGTATTGAAATTTATATAGCACAAGAGACACTTAAGTTTTTATTGGTTATAAACTATTTTAGTAATGTTGATTTATAATTTATTATATACTATAGTTATATTCTTATATCAGTAAAAATATTTGTGGCTTTGACAGTTCAATCTTTTAATATTGGGAAAAAAAAACTGAAATTTTTTAATAAATTTTAAAAATTGAAAAAGTTTTTTTAAAAAACTGAAAAATTATTTTAATAAGGGGAAAAAAAACTTGTTTCAAATTTTTTTCAATTAGATGCTGTTTATTTCTAATACTATTATTAAAAATAATAATTTTTTTTAATGTTATTTTAAAATGTAATTTATTATTTAGTGACATTATTACAAAAAGGTAAAATTTGTATAGTTATAGAATTTCCTTCAATCAGTCATGTCTTAAATGATATATATGCAGTATAAGGATTTAATAGGGTTAAGATTGAAAAATGTAGCACAATTGGGGCAAATTTATAAAAAAATCTATCAGTTATAAAATTATTTGTAACATTTTTGATTGTTTTTAAGTTTTTAAATTTGTTAACAAGGTTTAAATTTATTTTGGAAAAAACTCAAAAATTAACCTAATGCTTTGACATTTGAAGCTTTTTCAGTCAAAACACTTTATTTTTATTTTTATATTTTTGTCTCTCAAATAAATTTTTTTTCCCTCAAATTGTTTTCATCAATATTTTATTTGAAAAAAAAAACACACACACACTTTGTATTTGCTTATTTATCTCAAGAATCAATTTTAAAAAAAGTTGTTTTTTTTTTTTAATATTTTTTTATTAAATTGGTATTTACTAGTTTACTTATTTTCAAATTTATAAAAAAGGTTGTATCTTAAAAAATAAATATTTAAAGAAATTAGAGCTTTTATTTCAGCAAATCGATGCATTAAATTATTTATTAAATAAAATTTAAAAAAATAGCTGACAGATATTTTGTATGAGGAAAAATATATATAAAAAAATATTAAAAAATTAGTAAAAAGTAAAGTGCAAATAAAAATTGAGGTTTTTTTAGAAATTGTTTTCTAAACTAAAATTATTTTGCTATAATTTATTTCAGGATGAAAAAAAGAAGAATTTGATAGACATCGAGAACCCAAATAGAGTTCAAAATAAAATGAAAAAAGCTGGAGAAATAACTTCAGATGCTCCAAAACCTGAACTTTCAAGAAGAGAGAGGTAAAATAATAATAAAAAATATTAATCTTTGTTTTCAATAAAAATTTTAAACGAAAAAAATTTGGTTCAGAGAGGCAATCGAAAAAGAACAAGCAAGATTACGCTACGAAAAACTTCATGCTGAAGGAAAAACAGACGAAGCTCGTGCTGATTTAGCACGTTTGGCAATTGTAAGAAAACAAAGAGAAGAAGCTGCTAAAAAGAAAGATTTAGAAAAACTTGGTATAAATTATAACTAAAAAGTTATTTTTTGTTATGCTCCATTTGAACTTTTACATATTATATTCTATTAAAATTTTAAATATTGTGTTTGTTTTAAAGTTTTAAATGTTGTGTTTTGTTTAAAATTTTAATTGTTGTGCTTTAATTGATATTTAAAAATATGATTTTACTAATTCCAAAATTAAGTTTTTTTTTTTAAGTTCTTTTATACAAAGCATGATGTTTCTCCATTACAATTACATAACAGTGTATTCCTATAATTGTTAAATTTTTAAAATTAAATTATATAAATTGCAATGCTAATAAAAAATATATTTTTGAAATCACAGGTTTAACTTGCACTCACATTTGTAGCAGAGTTAACATATAATTATACAAAAATGCATATTTCTTTGTGCTGAAAAACTGATTATTTCAGTATCTATGTTATGCCTGGTTATTTCAATATATAGTTGTCTTGTTAGCTAAAATGCAAATGAAAAGTTGCACGCTTTGAGATGTAATATTTTTTTTTAAGTAAAAATAAATTCTGAATAAACTATGACTGTATACCTAAATTTTCTGAAACCTATTTTAAAAACATCTAAACTCAAATTGACTACATTTATTTATTAAAAATTACTTCTGCAGGGTGTGTACATACATTAACTAAGGGTTTTGGTTTGGGCAGGCAATAAGTTAAAAAAATAGTTTGTGTTAAAAAGTGTTTAAAAATCAATTCAAACGCTTATTTTTCAACACTTTCAACAAATTCAAGCACTTATTTTTCAACACTTTCAACAAATATTTTTCAAACACTTATATTCCAGTCATCAATTTACACAATATTTTTCAACTCTTTCAACAAATTCAAACACTTATATTTCATTCATCAATTTACACAATACTTCAAGTGTTGGAATAGGTTTTTGATTCTATCATATACCAAAAATTACTTTTGATAGAAAGCTTTATAGTTTCATACATATCTATTTTGAAATATTCAAAATAGAGAGTATATTAACAAAAAATAATTAATAGTCGGTATTAAAGGGAAATGCTTGGTCCATTTTTGGCAATTTAGAGTTATTTATACCACTATTTAGTATTTTCAATTCTCTATCGTTAGATATACCACACAAATTTAATAAATCAATTATTAATGAGTTATTAGGATTTTTTATTTCAACTATTACACTTATTATTTTAAATATTTTATTACATTTATTATTTTAACTATAAAACTTATTATTTTAACTATTACGCAAAAACTTATTTATTCATTATCTCAAAAAAATATTTTTGGACTTGTGAGTGCATTTCCTTTGTGTACCAGCAAAATAAGAGCTTGGAACTGGAGATAAAATGATAATTTGTAAATAACGTGAAAATGTAAGCGTTTGATACCTTTAATACATATTAGCTGTCTGGATAAAATGTGTCATTGTAAGATTTTTCACATTAAAGATATATAAAAATATTCCTGATATAATCTATTTATATATGTTTTAGTAAAAGATAGAAATTGAGTTATTATTACTATTTTAACAATTATATTAATTATAATAATTATAAATATTCTTTAAAAACAGATTTTCATATTAAAACATACCAATTAAAAAAATTATTCTTTTGCTTTTCATGATTGTTGCATGATTATGCAATAATGTTTTGTAAAATGCTTTTTAATTTTGAATAAGTTGTGTTTATGCTTTTTTTGTTTACCTACATTAAATACTCTTTTTTGTTTGTTTTTGTTTACTAACATAGAATTCTTGAGCTATAGTATTTGATACAAATGTATACAAAACACTCATTTTACCTGATATTCTTTTGGTTAATGAAAGAAAAAAATTGTTTATAGTTTGTATAAATTTGTACATATAACATTAAATACCACTAACTTATCTCCCGCTCCCCTCTTTTCTGCTTGTATTTCTGATAATGATAGAAAAATTTAGATTTGGAATTGTATAAAAACATTTGTCATAAAATGCTGATTTAGAAAGTAATTTTAGTTTGTAAGGTCGATCTCTTATTTTTAAACAAATGTATTATTTATCACATTATTAGTTATTTTATCATTTTATTTGTTTTATTATTAATTAGTTTAATAAAATGTACTACAAAATCAAACATCATAATTAAATTTAATTAAGCAACTAAACAACTTAATTATAGAAACAATTTGAATTGCAGTCTTGAAGGAAAGACCAACTGCATTTCAAGTCACTAAATATTTTTTTCAACCTGTTTAGAAAAATTTAGAACGCGGAAGGATAAATGCAGTTATGTTACCCCAAATTTTGGGTGATTCCAATTTGACTATTATAGGCAATAGTTGTTAAAACAATTTACCATTCATAATATTATTACTTGCCAAGTGAACAAATATTAAGAATTACTAAAAAACTTATTATATTAGGTAGGAATCTGTTTTTTGATTAAATTTGTCCACCTTAAATTTCAGATTTAAAAAAATCTAATATCTAAGAAAGCTAAGTTTCCTAAATTATCAATTATTTAGTCAAATAATTAGATTTGATCAAATCTCAAAAGAAAGCTGATACAACTTCAGATGTAGCAGCAGGAGATATCAGATGTAGCAGCAGGAGATATCAGATGTAGCAGCAGGAGATATCAGATGTAGCAGCAGGAGATATCTCAAATTAAATAGATGTTTGTGCTGTGTTAGGGAATTTTATGTCTATTCTATTTAAATTGTTTAATAATATTAAATAGAAAAGTTTATTGTTTGACATGGTATGTCTGTTTTCTGTGGTTTTTTTATTTGCAAACTTAAAATTTCAAGTGGAGTTTTTTCATTAAATTTGAATCTGTGTTCCAAATATAATCTTTTTTATTTTATTTTTTGAAATAAAAAAAAGAATCTTTTTCCCTGCTTTAACTCTTTGAGATATGAGCTATTTTAAATTAAGTTGTGGCACTTAATATTTGTAGAACAAATGCATAAAATGTTAATATCAGCAGAACTATTGTTAACCTTGATATATATGGAACATTTTCATCAGTACAATTTTATATCTAGTACCTATCCAACTATTTTTCTAGCTTATCTTTCTACAATTCAACATTTTTTTCAATTTTTTTCTTTTGTTTCTTCTTGATTAGAAGTGAATCTAAATTTATTCTAGGCAGAAAAAAATTTGACAATAATTTTTGAGATAAGATTACAGGGCTCTTGAACAAATTATGTCTAAGACTATAGTTTTAATACCAATTCTGCCAATACCACCACCACCCAGTAATACCAACAAGATTTTTTTCACAAAAAAATGGCATCTCCAACAAAATAAAAATCATAAAATTTAAACTTTTATAAAATCGTTTGTTTAAAACACTTAAAATTGCAAATGTTTCAATCAGTTTCTTATTTCATTACAGTGTAAAAATACAGTTTTTAGCTAATCTTTTTTACTCTAAGATATTTAGTCAAATTAGTTGTAAAATTAAAACAAACTAGAATTGCCTATTCTAGTTTGTTTTAATTTTAATCTCTCTGTAACAAAATATTTTATATTGTTTATTATTTACTAATAAACAATATAAAATATTTAAAAGTTACAAAATACAATATAATATAAACAAAAACAATCGTTGTATAAAACTACATGATAAAATTTGACTTTTCAATTATAAATAATAAACGGTGTTATTTATAATTTTCAATTATAAATAACACCAAATATCAAGTACTAAATAATTGTGATTCAATGATTGTAATTACAAGTGGACTTGGTTAATTTAAAGAAAATGGTAAAGTTCTGTCATAAATATGTAGTTTTTGTCAAGTTTGTCAAAATGTTTGTCAAATTTTCAGTTGACTTTTCCATTAAAAAATATTTTTATGTTTTTTTATTTAATATCGGTTAACATAATTCAACCCATAATAAAATCAATCACTTCAAATGTCTTTTTCCAAAAATATTATTATTAAGTAACCTATTATACAGATATATTCAAAATGTTGCATAAGTGTTAAAAATGCTCAAATAGCTTTTGCTTCTCTCAAACAATAAAATAAATAGGTTTTAAGTACAAACATTTTAATAATTTAATTACTGAGTCAAGAGTTTTTTTGTTCAGTTAGTACTTGAGTTGGGTGAAATTTTTAGTCATTTTTGTTTTTTATTACCTTTATTATTATTTTATAATTTGTGTTATATATTTATTGTTTATCTTTTTTTTTTTTTTTAAAAAAAAAAGGATTTTTGTATTATTTTTTTCTCAAAAATTAAGAAGAATGAAACTCTAAAAAAAAAAAAATCCCAAAAAAAAGTCTAAAAAATAAAAAAGTTCTAAAATACCTAATAATAATATAAAAGTAAAACCAATCATGACAACACAATAAAATTTTTAAAAATAATTTTTTTTACAGTTACCATGACAACACAATAAATATTTTAATAAGTTTTTTTACAGTTACATGAGTGTACATTTATAATGCTTAATATGTTAATTAAATTTTGTCAACATTTTAGCAAAAGAAAAGGAATTGAAAGATGCAGAAGAAGCTCGGAAAAAGGCTATGGAAGCTCAATTAAATCCTTCTAAGCCCGGAGGGCGTCGAAAAAAATTGTAAATTTTCTATAGAAAATTTTTATCTGAATTTGTTACATTTTAATATCAGTATTTTATGCTTTGTTCACTTAGTTTGTAAAAAAATACATAAAACACGCTTGTTTACATTGTAGTATCAGTATTTCATGCTTTGTTTACATGAGCTCTTAGTTGAAAAAGTCATTGTGAATAATTATATAATAAATATGTTATTTATGATTTGTTTTTTTTTAATCTTGTTATACAATTCCCTTTTACTAATAAATGAATAATGTCTAAACTTAACTAAAACTAAAAGAATGAAACCTTTTTAAGCCTAAGATTAATTAGAATATATATGTTATGCACAAATTAGGAAATATCGCATTTCAAAAAATATGCAATTTTTAATGGATTGTGAAATGTTGGTATTTTATTTTTGTTTTTTAAATAGTTATGTTTTTTAAATAGTTATGTTCATTATATATATATATATATATATATATATATATATATATATATATATATATATATATATATATATATATATATATATATATATATATATATATATATATATATATATATATATATATATATATAATTAAAAAAAATTAAATATAAATATTATTTATCACACAGAATATGTTTAAAATAAACAGTAATTAAATTCAAGATTTTAGTGCAGAGATTGATTAGCAAAAAATTGCACATTTCATAAAACTCTCAATTTCACTATCCGTGTGTAACATACATTCATATTACAAGGTACAGATACTTAGATTATAAGGTATTACTGAAAGATAATATAAGTTGGTATTGATAAGTTTAAAAAAATAAGATAGGTTAAAAAATTTTCTAAAATAAAAAAAAGTCATTCCTTGCCATATGGAAAAAGGTATAAAATAGACCACCTCAGGTTTTGATAAATTTTGGTGAATTGATTTATATCAATTGGAGATGCAAATTTTAAATTTTTTAATTTAAAATCTTTTATGGTTCATGATTTATTATCATATATTATTTTGTTTGTAAAAATTATAAAGTTTTTTTATAATTGACAACTCTAGTTATGTAAAATCTTCATATTTGAATTATTGGTATAATTTTTCCAATTCTTTTAGCAAGAATTATAGATTTTTAATAGATTTTTCAATAATTTAATTCACATCCCCAAGGCTCTAGTGGATATAGGGGAGGGGGAAAAGGTTCACTGCAGTTAAACGGTTTTTTGTTTTAATTATTTGTTTGTTTTATTTGTAACTCTCTTTCAACCTAAAAACTCTAAAACACCTCTGATACACCTTTAATACGCCTGTGAAGAAACAGGTTGAGAAAAAAAGAAAAGGTTTACTGAGATTTTCTTTGAAAAATATAGATCTTTAAAGTACAAACAAAACATGTTTTTAATAGAGATTATACTTTTGAACAGAATTAGAACTTAAATGTTTATGAACCATATTTATACAGCCACCAAATTTTCAAGATTCACTTTTCAATGACAATTTTAACATTAAAAATCCTGAAATTTTAGTCCACTTAAAATGAAATGTCCCATATATAAGTTTAAGAAACATAAGAAGGGTATTTGGCTACACAGAGGCAAAGATAGCAATGCAAGAGCCATCACAAATAAGGTAATTGTAAAATGTACAATGAATCTCAGTCATTCAGTTTTAAAATATAGATGATCTAATGTGTTTGACGAAGAATCTCAGTCAGTCAGTTAATTTTAAGATGTAGATGATCTATAGTGTTAGATGAAAAATCGCCAAAACAGGAATTAAAGCACAGGCTAATGGCTATAAACAATTTAAAAATCAATGAACAAACATAGTTTATTTTAGTTTTTAATACACTGATTTGAAATTTAATTTGGTTAGTAATGTTCTATTAGTGATAATTGTAATAATTTCTTATAATATAATTAGTTATTAATAAACAACATATATTTTTTTTTTTTTTGTGTTGAGGAAATCTATTTTTAACAATCATATTTTTTTAAGCATATATTTTTAATATCTTTTCAAAATGCAATATTTAAAAACAAAACAAAAAACTGTAGAACTGTTTATGTTGTTTTTCAATAAGTGAATCTCATATTAGAGTAGAAGATTCAAACAAGTTTTTATAAAACATAGATAAATTATTTATAGGATTAAGTCATGTATTGTTTAAAAATATTGAAACAAATGTTTTAAGTAGTTTTTATTATTAAAAGTTTAATGTGTTTTAAATCAATTTCTTTCAGTCTATCTGTTAGTTGTATAGTATTTCAACTGTTTTAACAAAATGACTTCCAGTATAATAACAGTCAATAAGGCTTATTATTATCATTATTGATAATAATTTTATTCAAACCATTGATATATTTAAAATCATTTAATGTTTTAAAAACAATTTTAATATAATAAGCATATATTAAAATGCATTTATTTTTATTCAAATATCACATATTTTGTGTTGCATTTGATAGTATTTTGTCGGTGATATATACTTGGTTATACATTCAAATTCAAGTTTCTCTCTTTTACAGCTATAAGTATAATTAAATTAGTAATAGAAGTTTATGTATCGAATATCAGAGTAAGGTAAGCTTTTTTTAAAAAAGTCATCTAACAAGATTTTATTTTTAATATGTATATATTTGTTTTAGCGATATTTCTGGTAGTACGTAAAGTTATAATAAGTTATAAAACATTAAAAACACCATCTTACTCGTTATTTTTTTAATGTGATATTTTGGTCTAATTTGTTTAGACGTAAAATACCAATTTAAAAAGCATTACAAAATAAAATATTAAAAATGATAAAGAAATCATTACAAAGATAACATCAATAGAAATTGTTTTTTTTTAATGATTTTTATAAATTTTACACAATTTTGTGCAATTAACTCCACACTTCTGTGCAGAAGTCGAATTAGAAAAACTTAATTTCCACAAAAGTTTGCAAAATAACTCTACACTTGTGTCTAGGAGTGATAGCTACACACCGGTATGGAGGAAAACTCCACACTTTCCGCGAGAGTGTAGTTGAAGACCTATGTTTAAAAAGAATCATAAAAAAACAAAAAATTTTTTATTGTCATCTTTTTAATGACTTCTTTATGATTTTTAATATTTTATTTTGTAGCAGTTTTTAAGTTGGTGTTTTACATGTTGCTTTACATATTTTGTAGCAGTTTTTAAGTTGGTGTTTTACAGTTTGTGTTATATATATATATATATATATATATAGCTTGCTATGACTTCCGGTCCTATTGATATTACGTCTGATGATGGTCTATACAAGTTAAACTTAAATATGGCATAAAAGAAAAATTATATATATATATATAAATATATATATATATATATATATATATATATATATATATATATATATATATATATATATATATATATATATATATATATATATATATATATATATATATATATGTATATATTAAAATAATTTAAATGAAAAAAAAAAACTTTATAATGAAGCTTAAAGTTTCATGTCATTCGTCAATAGTCAGCCATATTATTTATATATTAAAAAAAAAACTTTAAAAAAAATACAAGGTTAGCGTTGCAACGGCATTTGATGTCAAGTATGTGTGAGCTGATATTTGCTAATTGCCGCAATCAAAGTGTATGTATATATATATATATATTTTTTATAACTTATTTTATAACTTATTTTATATATATATATATATATATATATATATATATATATATATATATATATATATATATATATATATATATAACCGAAATTTTCTTTTATGTGATATTTTGGTTATATATTCATATATTTATTTATATATACATAAATATAAAAATATAAAAATAAATATATTCTTTAAAATTAAATAATAACGCCTAATAGTTAAAGAAAAGTGACTCCGAGTTTCATGCATATGCCAATCATCAGATATTACAAATAACCTTAACAACAACAAAGTTAATTACAAAATTCTATGCAGTGTCCTCTTTGAGGACATTAAAGTTGTTTATAAAATTATTTATTTTCATGGGGACATTTTGATACCAGCTTATTTCTAATTACAATTTTGATGTTATTATGTAATACTTTTCAGTTAGGCAAAGGTTGCATAATTTTCATGTTTAAATAGTTATGCTTTATCAATAATTTACTATGTTATGATAGGATTTGTATATTGTCGGGGATAGTGCAAATCCGCGTAACTAGCATTGGCTACTATATTTGGATATTATTAATTTTAACACCAAGTATTTATTGTTGAGATTACAAGAAACATGAATAATACTCTTTTTACTAAAATGAACCCAAAATCAGTTAAAATAAAAAATAAATAAAGTTTTAAACTTCTCCAGTAAAAAAAATGTACTGTAGATACGCGGTATTATAAAATGCTAGTTACGTGGTTTTGCACTATCCCCGGCAATATCCCTTTTTTAAAATTTGGCATATAAACTTGGAAAGCTCTGTTGAATTAGCTTTTGCTTTTAATATTGGAATGAGTTTTTGTGTTTATACCAACGATCTTTAAAAGTATTTTCTGTTATTCCAATGTAATTGAATTCCCTATCTTGTGGTGAAGTTTTTACCTTTTTTTTTTTGGAGGCATTTTTCTTCCAAAGAGCATTTTTTTCAGGAGTTGCATTGTTTGTTGGTTGAGGTGTTAGTACCAGATAAAATTTTTTTATTGTGAACAATGATAATAATTTTGATGTTAGGAAAGCAACTGTAGCTTACTTTTAAGTTGTTTTAGTTGAATATTTTATAAAATTTATGAGATTTTGGAAAGTATTTTTCAACTAAATTTTAGAAAATTCTTGTAACTTTTGTTTTTACGTTAAGCGCAAAAGAAGGGTTAAATTATATAATGTTATATAATTTTGATTTTAATTTTTTGGGGGCATGGTTTGGTTTTTAGAAGATTGTTTCTTGATAACCATTAGGCGCCAAAGCATTATCATAAAAAGGTGCAGCTTTGTCAAAAATGTCTTTGTTTGATAAAATATTGCTAATTCGTTTGGATAAATTCTTGATATGAATAAAATAACATTAGGAGGGTGTTTAGAATTAATGTTAATGTACAGTTGGTGGTCAGCTGGTTTTCTGTATGTTCGAAAATAACAATTCGATAAATTAAATGTAATGTCTAAAAAATTTACAAGCTTAAAATTTGATTTTACTGTTTGATTTTAACTGTAATATTTCATACATTTGTGGAATTTATTTTTTAAGAGAGATATATTATTATTTATTTGAGCTTACTCATTTTTATAGTTTTTTAAGAAAAAACTTATTTTTATGCTTGCATTTAGAATTTTTTTCCAATTTTTTATTTAATAGACATTCTTGATCCATATTTTTTTATTTAATAGACATTCTTGGTTTGACAAATAAGTTTTATATTATATACTATTTATAAATATTATAATTTTTAAACAATTTTAAAAATATTTATAGTTATGTTAAATTATATCAAATGCTAATATTTTGGTTTTTCGCTGATAAAACAACTAACATTCAGCAGCTCAGAACAGAAAACTTCAAAAAAATCTTACTTTATGCAACAATATTACTAATATTTATCGGCAGTTAAAAAATTTCTATTTTTGGCTGACTTGTATCTGAAAATCAAAAAAATGTCATAATGCAGCCATAAATAATATTTACTTACGAGAAAGCAGCTAAAAATTTATATTATGCAATTAAATTAAAAAACCCATAGTATTGCTTAAAAAAAACCCTTAAAAACAGAATTGAAGCAACTTCTCCTGCCTATGATTTTGTAACACTTAAATATCATTAACCAAATTTTCAAAACAAACTTCCTTCTAGGTTATTATTTCCCTCAAGAAGTAAAATCAGACGTAACAAAAATTAAATTGGACAAAATTAATAGAAATAAATAGAAATAGAAATAAATTATATTTTTAACAGCAGAAAAGTACCTCTGATGTTATAAATTAATTCTCCACAACCTGAAATATTTATAGATATTATATATATAAAAAAATAATTATAGATTTATTCAATTTAGCATAAATGATTTTTACCCCTCAATAACCTCAGACATTTTAGATAAAATAATTGATTTTGCAAAAATTTACACAGTTATTCTAGAATAGACAATTCATATAAGAAAACATTGCAGAAAAACCTTACTTTATTTTAATAAGGTAACATGGAAAAAAACAAACATACATGACTGCTTTGATGTAACAATTGGCAGTTATGATGGAGCAGAAATTTGTAAATTTTCTGGACTATTTATTTTAGATTTTTTAAGTAAAATAATTGGTACTAATAAATTAAGTCTTTATCATAATGATAGATTATAGGTAATGCATTAAAAATCTGGTCAACAACTTGACAAAATTAGAAAAGATATTTTAAAATATTGGTTTTCAAATTGAAATAAGCATAAATTTAAAAATTATAAATTTTCTTCTTTCAAAAAACCAAGTAATGAATTATTGTATATAAGCAGACTAAACCAAAACTCCTCTGATGAAAATATATTTACTAAGGTGAAAACATATTTACAAAGATTTTTAAAAATTTTAAAATTTGGAACTAAAATTTGACCCTTAAAATAAGAATGTGAAAAAGAAATCTGATGTCATACTGAATATAATAGGGAATAAAATACTGAAAATAGAACTAGAAATACAGAAAATATGTTTCTACTAACATTGTAAAAGTGTTTTTAAAATTGGTGGATTAACACTTCTGGCCCTCTAATAAAATTTTCAATTGAAGTACAATGTAAGTTAGCTACAGATGCACAAAAAATCTAGAAACAATTATAAAAGATCACAATAATGCTTTGTTGAATTAAAGAAGAATTCCCAAAATGAAAAAATTATAGAAAATTGTAATTGTAAACAAATTAACAATGGACAATCATAATTTTATGTAATTTTTTTATTTCGGAATTTTTTTTTGCTTAACAAAGCATTATTGTTTAAATAGTGGAAAATGTTTATCAAAAAATATATAAATGTGTTGTTTCTTCTAAGAATGTACTTGATAAACAATATATAGGCTTAACATAGGGTTAATGTTATTGTTTATGATCAACAAAAAACATTTTTCTGATCTAGCAAAACGTTTTTTGTCGATCATAAACATATATAATACAATATATACAATAAGCAATCTTTAAAAAAAAAAAAGTTTACAAAAGACAAAAGAATACATATGTGAATTGAATGATGAAATAATTGATGATTTTATATTGAATTATTCCATCCTTAAAACAACCTGATTATAATGTTTCCAAAAATGCATGTTGTGTTTACTAGGAAAATTTTTAATTATTACACATACAAACCAAGAATTTTTATTATAATAAAAAATTGTAATTGATTTCTAAATGCAGGATATAAGTTTACAAATGCATGATAATAAGTTTCTCATAAAAAACTATAAAAATAAGTGAGCTCTGGAAATAATCTAACCCCCTCTAAAAATATATTCCATATATGCGTAAAATATTACAGTAATTAAGACATTTATGAGATCTTGTAATTTAGTTTTTAGTATAAATTAAAGTTTTGTTTATTTGATCATATATTTCTTTTGTTTATTTGATCATATATTACAAGTCTTAAAGATGAAACACAGTGTAAAATTAAAAAAGTTTGATGATTTGCTACTTCTTTACTTCTCTGTTCTTTTAAGAACATTGATCGCTCTACTTTGTAGAATAAGTTTAAAGATATTTGTATGTGTGTGCATGTGTGCATGTGGGTGTGTGCACAAGCATATTTGCATGTGTGTTTAAACATATTTGTATGTGTGTTTAAACATATTTGTATGTGTGTTTAAACATATTTGTATGTGTGTTTAAACATATTTGTATGTGTGTATATATATATATATATATATATATATATATATATATATATATATATATATATATATATATATATATATATATATATATATATACACTTACTGAAGCAAGTTTTGATAAGCATTTGCTCACTTTTTCTGCTTGCCTTAAACTATACTGTTTTTTTTAAAAAAGAAAAAGAAAAAACAAAGAATGATGAATGAAACGATTGCTTCCCCATCCCAAACCCTCAGTCGATGTAGCAGCACTCCACTGCGAGTCTGGCTATTTGTCAGTCGATGTATGTACTGAAGCCCCCAGCAGCAGGCTATATCAGTATGACATCAGATTGCTTACAATAGTACGCAATGCTATTTGTATATATATATATATATATATATATATATATATATATATATATATATATATATATATATATATATATATATATGTGCGTGTGTGTGTGCTTATATATATATGTATATATATATATATATATATATATATATATATATATATGTGTGTGTGTGTGTGTGTGTGTGTGTGTGTGTGTGTGTGTGTGTGTGTGTGTGTGTGTGTATATGTGTGTGTGTGTGTGTGTGTGTATATATATGTGTGTGTGTGTATATATATATATATGTGTGTGTGTGTGTGTGTGTGTGTGTTTATGTATATGTGTATATATATATAAATATATATATATAAATATATATATATATATATATATATATATATATATATATATATATATATATATATATATATATATACATACACACATTTTTTAGAATATTTTTAAATGAGTCTTACTGAAGAAGACTTTAAGTGTAGCATTTGTTTTGAAATTCTTTTGGAGCCTACAACATTAACATGCGGTCACAGCTGTTGCAGATTTTGCCTTGCTCAATGGTGGATTACATCTCGAAAATCTAATTGTCCGGAATGTCGAGAAGTTTGGCAAGGATTACCAAAAGTTAATGTCACATTAAGGTACCTTTTTTGTTGTTGCTTTAATTGGTTTCAATCATACTTAGAGACTTACTGCCCCCCAACGGAGCCATTAGTCTGTTATTAGTTTCTAAACCTTCATATATCTTATATTGGAGACTTAGATCTAGCTACATGAAATAGATCTATTAAGTAAAAACAAAAATTAAAAAAAATAAAAGTTTGTATATATGTGTAAATTTATATCTAACAGTTAGTTTAACCATAACATGTTTATATAGGAACACAGTTAACAGTTTATTTGGTGATATAGTTGAAATACGCAAGACTTCATTAATAAATAACCAAAATTATCATGAGACCATTGCAAAATTTGAGCAACTGAAAAAAGAAAAAAATGAGAGGGTTGGAATTTGGCGTTATGGATATTTATTTGCTGCTGTAGTTGTGGCTGTATTTGTGGTGAGGCTGAAAATAATTTACTAGTAACAGTTTAAATTTTAAAAATATATAAAAATAATTTGCTAGTAACAATTTATATATTCAAAATATATAAAACAACTAAATAATGAAATAATTTAATAATAATAATAGTAACAATTGACATAATGTATTTTTAAATTGTATTATATATATATATATATATATATATATATATATATATATATATTATATATATATATATATATATATATATATCAACCCTCGAAATTAAGGTCAGCAATGCTGACCTAACTGCCTTCTATTAGTGGTTGTGGTTTGCAAAAAATTGTCGACCTTGTTTCAATGTTTTATGGTAATCCCTTTGCGTCAATTTTTTTTTGCCAACCTTTAACAGTTTTTATTGCCGACCTCATTTTTTTCAATTCCAAGGGTTGATATATATATATATAAATATATATATATATATATATATATATATATATATATATATATATATATATATATAATATATATATATATATATATATATATATATATTGATATTGATATTTGTATGTGCTATAATTGAGTTGATGTTGTTCAGTAAATATAGATCACTAAATTCTTTTGGTGCTAATTTGATATTGTCATTGCAATGCTTATATTATATGACCGTTCATTGCGTTTGTTAGACACTTTAAAGTTTGAAAAGTTTTTATTTCGAGTGTTGTACTTGATGTTATTAAGGTTAATAGAATCAAATTGTTAGAATAAGTTCATTGGTTTCTTGTTATAAATTATTTTATTGCATAGTTTTAGTGCTCTGCGTAAAATCGATGAAGGTAACTTTGTAGGTTGTATGCTTTAAGTTGTTGATTGATTTTAAATATATCTTTGTTTTGAATATTAATTTTGAGTATTAAAAATAAAAGCATATAGTATGCAATACTGAGGCTTTGTATTTCTTGTTTCGTGTAGTAAATTATTTGAGCAGTAATCAAAGTTAAGTAGAATTTAAGTAGAATGAATGTTTTGAAGAATTGTAAACAAACATTGAAGGCTAGACCAAATATATTAGTTATTGAGAATAATTTTTTGTATGCTTTTGCTTTTATCTCTTTTATCTGTTCGGTAAAAAGTAATTTACTGTTTGTAATGACAGCAAGCAAAGAAAATTTATTTACTATTTCAATTTTGAACTTATCACTTAATATGATTGATGTTGGCAATATTATTTTAGATGTATGTTTGTTTGTTAAAATCATTGCTTTAGTTTTATCCCAATTGATGTCCAGTTTATTAGCATAGCACCAATCAATAAATTTATAAAATGCTCACTGAATTTTTGTTGTTAGATGGTTTATATTGGTATCACTTATCACAAGTGTTGTGTCATTTACAAATAATGTTGATTCAAATAATATCAAATATTTAGGTAGATCTTTGATGAAAATCAAAAAAAAAAAGAGGTCCTAAAATGGAACCCTGTGGTATACCGATATTAACTTGTTCTTCATTAGAATATGCATCTTTAACTTTTGTAAAAAATTTTCTATTATGAAAATTGTTGCTTAATAAGTTTAAAAATATAGTTTAAAAAATATCAGTTTAAAAAATATAATGTTTTAGTTTCAAAATCAGTAATTTATAATCTACTAAATCAAAAGCTTTTCTGAAATGGATAAATATTAATAATGTAAAGAGTTTTTTGGAGTTTCTTAGCTTTATTTTAGAGATAAGAACATGTAATGCAGTTTCACATGAAAGATTACATCTGGAACTGTGTTTGTTTTAGCTGCAATCATTCATGTGCAATCATTTCACACGAAATGGTTTCACAATTCAACGATCATTGAATAAATCATTTTGTTCAAAGTATGTTTTATTCAAAATAAGTTTTTTAATCATTTTGTTTAATAACGTAATAATAATAAGTAAATCCTTTCAAAATGTTTAAAAAATTTTTAATATTCAAAATATTAAGAAAATTTCAAACATTTTGTAAGGTTTTATTCATTAACAAGAAAAAAGTATGAACTTTTGTAAATAAAAATAGAGAAAGTATGATAAAAATTGTTTTACTATAATTAATTGGTTAGATGAAACATTGATATAAAAATATAAAACAATATCAAAAAATAAATATCAATAAACAATTTTAAAGAGTTTAAAAAGTTGGTAAAGTGCTGTTTTTTCTAAAAAATATTATTTTTCATTACTATTAAAATTTTATAAGTAATTTTATTAGTATTACAATTTTATTAGTAAAAAAGTAAACATTAAATTTGCTGATTTTATTTTAATCATTTTGTTTAGAATAAAAAAAAAGTTTGTTTACAACTCAAATAAAAGGTTCATATTAAGAATTTAGATAAAATGTTCTTTTTGTCATTTTTATTTTAGTTTTAGAAATTTAAATAAAACATTTGTTTTTATTTTAATTTGGAACTTAAATAAAACGTTTTTTTTTTTGCTGTGTTTTTTTTTGCTTTTTAACTATTTTATTTAAAATTTAAATAAAATGTTTGTTTTACTGTTGTACTATTTTTAATTTGTTTTGAACTTAAAAAGTTTTATTTAGCTGTTTTTTTTTTTTTAATTTATTAAATAAGTTTATTTAGAATTTAAATTATACATTATTTTTTCCAAATGCCAACCCTAATTCTGAGGTATATATATATATATATATATATATATATATATATATATATATATATATATATATATATATATATATATATATATATATATATATATATATATATGTAAAAACTTGTAAAAACTGATTAGGATTATAAAATACTTTAAAGAAAGAAAAAAAAGTTTAGATTAAATGCATAAAAGAAAACTATACAATAATTAAAAAGCTTTATAAAACAATAAAAATTAAAAAAAAAAGATTTATTTTAAATTTAGTACTAGTAGTAACTATCAGTCAGGATTCAGAGATTTGTTGAGAGAAGCAGTATATACACTTTTTTTCAATTTTATTTTCTCTCATTTTCTAATTTTGATCATCTTGTTGAGTTTTAAAAAAATCAATCTTATTGACAGCATGAGGTGTCTTAGCAAGCATCTTTAGATCTTTTCTGCTTATTATGAAATTTTCAGTTAGTTTTTATATGCAGAATATTGTAGATTATTGTAAAATGTATTTCGTTCATTAGAAATGTTGCTTAAACTGGGTGTTGGTTAAATGTGATCCAAAATGAACATAGTAGTTATACCCAGTACAAATTAGTTCTCTAGGGATTAGATAATCAAAAGTTGTAGTTGCTGGGCTAATAGTCTTAGACTGTGCTGGTTTAACACTGGCAGTGTTCATTTGGATATCATTATACATACCTGAAGTATGATTATTGAAGGGGTCTGCTTTTCCAGTAGTTTTTATTATAGTTGTACGTGGTGTTAAAACATCTAGATCCCAATCAAGTAGCAATTGTAATACTTATTTAGGTGTGGATATATTGTTTTTATTTGAATTAGTGTGCATCCACCTATACATATTCCATTTTTTTGACCAGCAGCAATTGCATTACTCTTAATGTCACAACTTTATTTATATACAGTAGCGTCCAAAAATTTGCGGACAGGAATTTAAAAAAAAAAAGGAATTTTACTAATTTATCAGCACATACTTCACTAAAACCAACATATTATATACCAATCAAAAGGTTTTTAAGTTTTCAATTATGTTTGAACAAATAATGATTATCTAATTAACATTTTAAAATTGGTATACAAATCAATGATTTTTGATAAGTTCAAAAATTTGCGTACAATGCATTTTTTTTTAATAGTACAAATATTTCAACAATATTTGATCACAAATTTATATAAAAGCAAAATCACATTAGTATTTTGTAGGATATCTTTTACAATAAAGATTGGCTTAGCATCTATGAGGCATAGAGTCAGCTAAATAAATGCAAACGTCAATGGGAATTGAATCCAATATTTCTTTGATTTTATTAAATAAATCAGCAAGATTTGTAGACTTGATTCCTTTTATTTGATGGTCAACATCTTCCCAAAAAAAATTTTAATTGGATTTAAATCATGTAATTTGGATGGCCACTTCAAAACAAAATTTTTATCCTTTTTGAAAAAATCTAAAACCAATTTGGCTGCATGTTTGGGATTGTTATCCTGTTCGCGTATCCATCCGTGAGGGATTTTATCCTTTGCATAAGGCAACATAATAATCTTACATAAAACTTTGTAATTTTCTTGATTTATAATCTTAGTAATTTTATGGAGCAGACCAACTTGGCTAAAAGATCCCCAAACCATTAAAATACCTCCTCCATGTCTTACGGTAGGCATTTGGTTTTTAGGATTGTATCTTGTACCTAATGGACATGGAACATACCTGATTCCATCTGATACAAACAGTATAAATTTGTTTTCATCACTAAAAATAATTTTGGACCATTTTTGACTTTTGATACTCTGATGCAAATTCTTTTTGGGCGGTACGGTTTTTCAAGGAAACTAATGGCTTTTTAGCTGCGCGTCTTCAAAATAAATTAGTGTGATGTAAAGAACATTTTATTGTTAAAATACTACAATTCATTCCATAGAAACATCTCATTTGTACATTTATATGGACAGCATTCAAACAGCGATTTTCTTTGCTTAGTATCACGAGCTTTTTATCTTGATAATGCGTTGTTTTGCCTGGCTTTCTTGATTGATTTTTTATTCTTTGTAGATCTAGTAAGCTCGTATCTTTTCATAATTTGTCTTACAGCAGAATTACCAACTCGATGAAGATGTGCTGTAATGAAGATATGTTTGAAAATTATTAAACATTAATCCTGCTACTAATAATCTGTAACCCTGTAATCTTTTATGCCCTCTCGATGATTCCAAGTCAAGCCTCACTAGTTTACCCTACAATTTATTGCTGAGATTTCCAATCAAAACCATTATTTCCATACCCATCAGCAAAACATTTCCCCACAAAAAAAAAAGACATCCGTTTACTATTGCTAGAAACCATTGTAAAAAGGTTTTGTCTAACACCAAAGCCCTCTATTCTCAGGTCATGAATTCTTGTATTTCATCTCAAAGTTAGGCTCTCATAAGTTCTGGAGAGTCTTTAACAATATCAATAATAAAGGCAAGTCTTCCACCCCTGTTGTGCAGTTCAGATTTTGTTACCTCATCTAAAGATAAAATTGAATTGTTTGCTAAGTGACTTTTCATCAATATCATCTCTTGATTCCTCTAGTTGCATTTTACCTGATATAGCTGACAAGCAAGTGGATCAATAGATTGAGGTTTGTATCACTGCAGCTTCTGTATCTAAAGTGATTTACTGCTTAGACTCTTCTACAGATTGTGGTCTGGACATTATACCTGTTATAGTCTTGCAGTAGTGTTCTCTGGAGCTTTCATCTATATTTTCAAAACTATTTAACAAGTGCTTATCAGAGTCTTTTTTTTTAGCCTTCTGAAAAGTCTTTTTGTTCTATGGCTGATTTGTTAATGGTATTACCTGATAGGTTTTATCGTGCATTAAATAGATGTAGAGAGGTTAAGGTTATCGCTCTCGATATTTCTAAATCCTTTGATAAAGTTTAGCATTTTGGTCTTCTCCATTAGCTTTCTTCTTTTATATATCAGGTAACATCTATAAGGTTATTAAAACCTTTCTTGCCAATCATAGTATAAAAGTTGTCCTCGATGGACAGCACTTTTCTTTATATCATGTAACTCATGGTTTTATTCTTGGATACTTTAATGGGCATTGCTCTAAAAAGCAAGCGTTTCTTGTGCTATCTACTAAAATTCATTCTTGTGTTATTCGTCATTTAGTTAAATCTCATCTTTTTTCTATGACTGCTTCTAATTGCTCCATAAGCTCTTATTCGTCTAGGTTTTTCCTTGAACATCATGCTTTACAAACTAAATCTTTTCTCTTGCAGTAACTTCCAACTTTAATAGTGCTTGCTTGCAGCCTTGATGGAAGCAAAGATGTTAAAAAAATATATAAATAAAAAAAATATTTTTGTTTGTTGATTTTTTCAAATACAGTATAAGCCTCAAAATGACACTGCTACGTTGATTTTTTCAAATATAATTTAAGTTTTAAAATAAGAATACTACAAACCTTGTACATTTCTTAGCAGAGATAACTTAACATTAACTTCACTCCAAAAGTTTATATAGTTATATATATATATATATATATATATATATATATATTTATATATATATATATATATATATATATATATATATATATATATATATATATATATATGTATATATATATATATATACATTATATGTATATATATATATACATATATATGTATAAAGATATATATATATATATATATATATATATATATACACATATATATGTATATAGATATATATCAGGCCTTGCGATAAAGCGTCGGGCGATGTGAATTTTACGTCGTCCAAGAGCGATTTTGCATGTAGCTAGGGCTATTTGCGTCGAGCAAAAAAATTTTTGTTTAAGTATATTTAAAGATATTTTTGAGCGGAATTTTAATGAAGTAATTCACGATTATTTTAACATTTAATAAAGTATTTTAAAAACCGCACGCAGTTGAAATAAAAGTTTGAATTAAAAAAAATTAAATATGCTCATTATTTACAAGAAGAAAAAATTCAGATAAAAAAAAAGTTTAAATCTTTTAAGCTAACATTTTAATAAAATTATTCAGCAATAGCAAAGTTGTCGATAAAATTGAACAAAAATACTTTCTTTTAGTTTTAGATTTTAAACTTAAATAATTATTTTACGGGGGTTTGTTAGGTTTTAAAATTATTCCATAGATTTAAAAATATTTATTAACTGTTAGACGTATTTAAAGTATTTAAGAGTAATTTCGAGGAAACATTTTAAAACTTGGTGAGCGCAAATAAAAAAAAAAAAGGATTAATATTAAAATGTATTCTACTTGATTCAATAAAAAAGTACAGTTATTAAAATTTTTGTAAAAAGTAACTCAAAAAAATTACTTAATAACGATCGCTTTTATGTTAAAAGTTACCGAAACTCAACGAAGCATGCTCAAGAACAGCTGCTGACAAATAAAATGTCAATAGTTTTTCGAATAATTTTTAATAATAATTTTTAAGAATAATTTTTTCGCTGAAATATTTCTTTTATACCTATAAGATTTTTATTCTAACATTTTATTTTATTTTACTAGAAATAAAATTCCTTCAAAACGTGACAAACGTCGAGAAAATAAACAAATGTTTTTACATTTTAGAAAACGAAACATTCCAAAACATTTTTAAATAATAACATTTCTACATAAACGATTTAAAGTAGTTTTGCGGTAATTAAGTAAATTGGTGCAGTTAATGTCGATAAATATGAAAAGCAAATAAAAAGAATTTAATGCCGTCAAAAATCACGTCGTGCTTATGCGTCGCGCAGTTCTTATTCATCGCAAGGCCTGATATATATATACATATATACGTATGTATATATATATATATTTGTATATATATATTTATATATATATATATATTTATATATATATATATTTATATATATATATATACATTTATATATATATATACATTTATATATATATATATATATATATATATATATATATATATATATATATATATATATATATATATATATATATATATATATATATATATATATATATATATATATATATGTATATAGATGTATATATATAGATATATAGATATATATATTTGTATATATATATATATATATATATATATATATATATATATATATATATATATATATATATATATATATATATATATCTATAGTTATTTATTTATGTATGTATATGTAAAGTAATTTTTTTTTTCAAGATTATATTTGTTGGAATTCAATCCTTCAAAGGTACTTCAAGAAATGATTTGATGTTAAAGTCTATATATGACTGGTCACCAGAAGATGTTGGATATTGGTTTGGTGAACTTGGTCCTTGGGCTAAAGGCACCTTTGACAAAAAAATTATTGAAGCAGGTATAAATTTTTGTATGTTATACTGTTTTGTATTTCTTTATTATATTTGTATATTTATTATATCTGAACCTCAGAAGTCAACTATCATAACTCACATTTGACAAATTTTACAGGAGAGCCAAATGAAGTTACTACACTTCTTTTTTTTGTTAAGAAACAGCTTTTTTTATTTTATAAAATTGATATTTGAAATTCTTCATACATTTCAGTGGGTCTGAATAATATCTTTACCAGATTATTTCCTGAAATTATTATTAGTTAATAATTAATCTGAAAATCAGCAATTTTGCAGTTACGATAGTTGACCACTGGGGTACAGATATTTTTTAATTGTATTTATGTTGCATAAACACTTTTTATATTTTATTTCGTTTGTTAAGGATCTATATATGTATTTATGAATCAACCTTAATATAAATATAAGTTAAGGTCAATATAAATAGTAAATATAAATAGTAAAATATATATAAATATAAATAGTAGATGCAAAACCATGGAATTGATAGAGTTGTCTTTTTGATGAAGTTTAAAATATTACCCTTTAAATCATATTTAGTAACTGTAAGCCTTTTTATAGCAAAAGCTTAACCTGAGAATTCCAATCACAACATATACAATTTTTTCTAAGCAGGAAATTTTGAGTAATTTAACCTGAGAATTCCAATCTAGAGTAACAAGTGCCTAAGTCTAATATAACTTTTGAAAAGTATAATGAAGTTCATTGTTGCTGTAAAGCAGAAAAAACTTTTCTTCACAAATTAATATTTGTATTGTTTTTATAAAAATGTTTTTGACTTTTTCTATTTAGTGATTTTTAGTAAGGTAAATATCTTAATTTTTTAAAGGAATAGATGGAAGTCTGCTGATGAAACTTACTGATGCTGATTTACAAGATTTTAAAATGAATATTTCTCTTCATCGCAGAATAACTCTAGAAGCCATTAAAAAATTAAAAAAAGAACTTCAAAATCAGCAAACAGGATTATGGGAGTTTAAGGTTTGTTATTTAATGTATTGCTTTAGCAACCATAAAGTTTTATTTTGTGTTTTTGAACTATAAAAGTGTAAGTGTAGTTCCTTTTTTCTGCAAATACTACCATGGTTGTTGCTCAAGCTGTCATCTCTTGTTTCACCTACCAAAACACATTATTTAATTTATTTTTTTTTTAACTTTGGTTAATGTTTTATAAGTTAAAATGAATTGTGCATAATTGTTTTTTGTAAAAAATGTTAATAATATATAAAACTAAAATGAATTTAAAAAATAAAAAATAAATATTTTCAGGAGCGAAGGAGTGGGTTGGCAATATTCATTATGTTTGGTTTACGAGAATTTCCAAGATCTACTCTAACTTATTTGTATTTCTTTAATTACAGAGATGCTTTCTTACCAATTTTTTATTGCTCTGTAACATTAAAATCAGCTAATATTAGTTGTACTCAAATGGTAAGTTCAAAATTGAATTCAATTTATTTTGAGTGTTTGTGTGTGTGTTTATACACAGACCAACATACAGACAAACATACATTCATACATATCTACTACTGCAGGTTTTATAATATATACTTGCACACTTTGACAACTTTAATCCAGAAATATTTCAGATTAAAAAAAAAGATGATAAATTTTTTAAAAAACTGTAACTTTCTTGTCATATCTAATGTCGACTCTATGTAGAGAATATCCCATATGCATGCATATGGGATATTCTCTATATAGAGTCATTTATACAATTGCAGGTTTTATAATATATACTTGCACATTTTGACAACTTTTATCCTGACATATTTTAGATATAAAATGAAAAGAAATTTTAATTTTAAAAAAACTATAACTTTATTGTCATAACTAATATCCTCTCTATGTAGAAACTGTCCCACTCAAACCAGAGAAAGCTACCCCACTCAAACCTAAACTCATTTAATGCATTTGCTGAAGCAAATTTAAGCAAAATGTCATCAGTGATGTTTAATTCTTAATTCATGTTTTTATATATAATATTCAAACATAATGAATACTTTGTTCCTTCAATTACAAATACTCACTAATTATATCACAATCATCACACTTTACATTTCTAAAATAAATTTATAATATTTGTAATAAACTTTATTTTTAAAAAGCATACATATTTTATATATATTTAGATTTTTCTAATAATCTATTAGTTCAAACCATTGCAGAATGTTGCTACATATGTGTTTCATAAAAGATGTTTAAAATGTTTACATAGTTATATATGTTTGACTATAGAACAACATATGTTGAACAACATATTTAAGTTTAATTAACAGAAAAACATGTTTACTCATTTTATTACTATCTTAACAACATATGTTTACTTATTTTTAATTATGTTTAGTTGACAGAACAACATATATTTATACATGTGTTATAAAGGTCTCAAACAAAAACTACTCAAGCAGGACACTTAAGCCTAACAAAGCGTGTAGTGTTTGGCATAAACATTGTTTATCAACCAACCTGTTTATTAACCGTAGATGCGTCTAGCGTCTGGTTAGATATAAAAAAACAGGAATTAGATGACAGTTATAGTTAAAGTAGAGAAAAAGTTGTGGTCAAAGTCAGGATCAAATTCATAGTCAAGGTCAAGGTTGATGGTCAGTCAGAAGGGTTAGAGAACCATAAGAAGCAGTAACAGACTAATTAATTACAAGACAAACTGTTTAGAGAATATTATAAGTTGTATTTGTATATGCTAATTATTTATATATTTAATGAAAGTTACTGTGTAACATATGCTTAACAATTAAAAAATAAGCATAGTTACATATGTTTCACAATAGATTTAAAAAACTTTGATATTGTTTCTAATATTAAAGATATAAAATTTACATAAAGATTTATCGTTTAAAGATAAATCTGCATTTTTGGTATTTAAGCATTTTTTAAATGAAATAGTTGTTTAAACAAATAACTCATTAATTCCGTTCAAAAATCATTTTTGGTAAATTTCTATACTGTAGAGTTTGAACTTACATAGATTGAGTTTTGTGATTGCTTCTATGACTAATATGTTGTGGTATAGTGCTCACTTCATAAGTGAAAAGTTCAGAGTAGTACAGCACTAAATTTGTTTCTTAATTTGCAAATTTATTTTATAGTTTGGAAAGAGGGTTGCAACATCAGTTTAAAAAAAAATGTTAAAGTAACTAAAGTAGCTTTCTTGACATGGTCTTAATGGTCTCCACTGAGCTGAGCTGAGGGAGCTGAATCAAAAAAATATAATCTTGTTCTATTATTTCTATTATCTATTTATTTATCTTTCTTTTCTTATTTATTTTTATTTGTTTGTTTTTACGTTTGTATAAAATGATTAATTATTTATAAGTTAAAGATGTTATACATGTTTTATTTTCTTCAAGTGTAGCAACACTCTCCTACATTTGGTAATTATCTTGAGTTTTTACCACTTATGTTTTCTATTCCATACTATTTGGTTGGTCGGTTTGCTTCACATTATTTGTATATAAACTATTGGGCATCACGTGTTGTAATTTTACATGCTGTTCTTATGACAGTTACAGAGATATCCAATATGAGACTTCTGTTAATTCATCGCAGGTTAGCATGTTTAATATACACACACACACACGCACACACACACATACTTGGTATGTGGTAAACTTTTTTTTACCACAATCTGTATACTAAAAAAAAAGTTACAAAAAAGTTATAAAATTAAAAAAAAAAACTAAAAAAAAAACTTTAATTTAAATATTTTTTTGACTTGTATTTAAATAAAAAATTTTTAATGTTTTAAAAACCACTTTTGTTACGGAAGTTTAAATTACAAATACATTAAATATGCTCTATCTATATTAAATTACAAATACATTAAATATGCTATTTACAAATAAAATAAATTCAGATACAATAAAAAAAAGTTTTTATAAAAATAAATTTATTAATAATGAAACATACTGGAAGAAAAAAAAATTGTTGATTATTTTAGTATGACATAAATAAACAAAATGTAAATAAAATTAAATTAAAATCCAAGCAAAATAATCTATGTAAGTTTTATAAGTTTGTTCAGGTTAGAATCAAAACTGGCAACAAAACATTATATTTAAAGGCTTTCATATGGCTTTGCTTTATAATAAAGCTAAAAAAAGCCTAAAATTTAATTGTTATTTGGTTTTGATATAATATTTTTTTTTTTACTTGGTAAATTCAGTGTTTATTACAAGTATGTACATTTAAAATAAAGTAGCTTATAAAATGTATATATAATGAAAATATTTCCAGTTATATAATGTGTATTTACATAAATTTCATTGAAATTTCCAAAAATCAGAAAATATCAAAAAATAGACTTAACCGCATTGACTTCTGAGTGCCTCATATATATATATATATATATATATATATATATATATATATATATATATATATATATATATATATATATATATATATATATATATATATATATATATATATATATATATATATATATATATATATATATATATATATATATATATATATATATATATATATATATATTTAGCAGTTTCATTAAAAAGGGTTTTGGGATGGGTCAGCAACCTTTTTATTCATTATTCTTTGTTTATCCTCTTCTTTTTCTAAAAAGCCTCAAAAATTTCTTCTACAGTCTGTTTCCTCTTCAGCAGTTTCATTAAAAAGCGCCAGCCGTAGTATTGGCAGGCGTGTGGGTGAGCGCAAAACTGCAAAAACGCAAAAACGCTCGTCAAATGGAGAAGACTGCCAAGCCCTAAGTTGTTGTAGCGGCGCTCCCTTGCAGCAGTACTCCCTTGCAGCAGCAGGCTATTTCAGTGTGATGTCAGAGTGCTTATCTAAACACGCATTCATAGTGTTTATATATATATATATAAATGTGGTATTAATTTTTTTATAATTATTTTTCTTGATAAACATGAAATTTTTTTTTAGATCAGCTCATTATTATGCTACCAAGTATTTTATATATGTGCTTATGTCTTCACTTTCTATCAAACTATTGGTATATTTTTTACCTGTATTTATGACTGATTGCATATTCTACTGGTTGCTATATGTTAGTCCGTTTGATGCATTTAATAGGCTATTGAAACGATTTTTTGTAAGAAATGCACCACATAATTTTGATCACGAGGAGCATAATCATGCTGGGGTAGAACAACAATGGGGATTTAATTTTCAGTGGCATGCTAGACGTTACTAATATAAAATAGATTATTATTTATAAAAAAATCTGAATTTTTATTTTGTATAATTGATTTTAAATTATATTTTCTTTGTAAGTTGTAGAGATATAGAAATATATTTGTTATTTATAGTTTTGAATTTAAAGTAAATGGATTTGAAATAATGGAAACCATGATTATGATATATAGTGAAATAGACTAATTGTTTAAGATATTAAATTGTTTTTTTGTTTTTTTTTATTATTATTATTAAAATCAAAATTAAGTCACAAATTTTATTTCTTCATATTTGTGTTTTTTGGAGAAAAAAAGTTTACACAGCTATATGATATTCTTGTTTTGAAATAAAAATCAACTTACAGTAATTTATTACTTTTAATTAATTTTTATTTTTATTTTTAAAGTTGCTTTCTTTATTTCATTTTAAATTTTTTAATTTTGTATAACATTTTATTTTTGTATGAGAAAAGCTTCGATGCATTAATAGTAATCTTCCTTGTATCACAAATATACCTACTCCTGCATAACAGGTTAAAGTTTTGAAAAGCATTTGGTTGGATTGTCTGAACTACACAAGTGTGGAAATATGGGTGTTAAACTTTAAAAAAGAAAAGAAAAAAATAACATTATTATATTTACATTACTGTTTACTATATAACAATATTATACTTACATCATGGTTATCTTTTATCATTATGTTTACATGACATGTAACAATTATGTATACAATTAGTCATGTGAAAACATGTTGTAGTTACTGTTGTTATATTATTGTTGTTGTTATATAATATTACATCATTATAATTGCTACAATATCTTAACTTGAATGATAAATAAATATTTATTTAAAAGCAGGATTAATTTGTTTAATAAAGTTGTTTATCTTGCTATTTTATTAATTTTAAAATAAAATTTTATTTAAAGTTTGATTTGATTTGTATAAGCAGTTTTAACTTGGCCTATTTGTAATTACAATTTTTTTTCTGCGATTTTACCTAAAAATTATTTTATTAATTAGAGGGCCTGAATTTCAATCTAGTTAATAAATTGACCTGTAGCCATTTGTTATAGACCACATAAGACTTGCACAATTTTGTTGATTTTTAAATTGTTGATTCACAAGTCAGGGAAAATTATATTTTAGGGCTGATAAGTTTTATTTTAGGGCTGATAAATTATATTTTAGGGCTGATAAGTTATTTTTTAGGGCTGATAAGTTCTATTTTAGGACTCATAAGTTATATTTTAGGGCTCATAAGGTTATTTTTAGTTGATCTTTTCACTGACATATTCGACAATTGTTTTAGTAAGTTGTCTTTCGAAAAGAAATAGGGAACATTAAAAAAATCCTTGTATAAAGTATAAAGTATTTTTTCTTTAGTAAACTAAAAAAATAATATTTCTTTTTAAACAAGTGTTGTTTGATAGTTTTAATACTGATAATATTATTAATGACAGTATTGTATTATGTAGTTAAATTTATTGTGCTTAGTAATTTTTTTTTTTAATTTGTTGACATTTTAACTCAATGAAATCCCTGAAAAAAATATTTTCTGGTAAAATCATAAACCAATGCTGAAAGTGTTATGAGCCAAGTATCTCAATAAATATTTTTCAATTGATAATTTTAGACTAAATTACATTCTAAATCTTAGTTGTTTAGAGTTATATAAACAGACTAAATCTTACTATGTCATTTATTGATTTGATAGTAGTTATTTTATTTATTTATATTAAGTATGTTTATTTTTTTCAAATTTTAGTATATTTAAAATATATAAAAATATTTCTCACCAATATTTTGGTTACAAAACATGAAACTGAAAATGAAAGAGCTAAAGGTCAGTTTTTTTATTTAAAGTTTACAAAAAAATATAAATACAATAATATTATTCATCAAAGAGTCATTAATGTCTGATCAGTTTTAAGTTATATTGTTTATATGTTGTGTTGTTATATTGTTATGTTATATTGTTTATGTGTTTATATTGTTATTATATTGTTATGTTATATTGTTTATATGTTGTATTATATATTAAATATATACTGGTAATGTGTTGCGTTATTATATTGTTATGTTATTTTGTCCAAAATAACAAAACAATATTGCAACATAAAAAATACAACATTAAAATATAACAATATAACATATAACAATATAACATATATAACAATATAACATATATAACAATATAACATATATAACAATATAACATATATAATAATATAACATATGTAACAATATAACAATATAACATATGTAACAATATAAAATTTATAACAATATAACATATATAACAATATAACATATATAACAATAAAACATATATATCAATATAACATATATAACAATATAACATATATAACAATATAACATATAACAATATAACATATATAACATATATAACAATATAACATATATAACAATATAACATATATAGCAATATAACATGATTTTCTGTTTTGTATATGACGTGTTTCATCACAGAAAGTGTTAAAGTAGTCAGTTTTCATCTCCTTTGTTTTTAATTTGTAATAGATGTATATTAAAGTAGACACATAAAAGTTTATTTAAACTATACTTTTGATAATAAAATCTATTTAAGTTGCTTTAATGGTTCCAAAAGTCATCGTATTTTCTAATGTCATATGATAAAAAACACATTTTTTAAAAACGTTATTTTTCACCATGAATTTAATTGCATAATCTAAATAATTTTACTATGGAAATGGAGCTGACATCTTCAAGTTAATTTTCAAAAAATTTTAAGAAATTAATAAATAAACTTTTGCATGTTAAAAAATGATATACAAGTTATGTTTTTCCAAAAGTTTCATCAATTATATTTACATGATAAAAAAAAATTTACAATTTTTCTCTTCAAGAACAAAAACTGTTTTCGATTCAACAACTTTCATAAATTGTGATGAAAAATCTCTAATTAAGAGAGCAATCGATTATTTGTATAAGCTTTAAATGAATGGAATTTCAATTGCAATTTTTCATTTTGTAACTTAAAAAAAAAGATATTCCACCATCAATACTATTGATATTGCTTTTAAATAACAGCTTCTAGCAATTGTTAATAAACATTTTTCTAAATATAAAATAAATGTTTATATTTTAAGGCAATTTAAGCAAACTAATGAAAAACTACTGGCTGTTTAAATAATGTTAATCGTATGTTTAAAAACAATCTTTATAAAAAAAGAAAAACAGTTTTTCCAGGCTTCTTGAGTTGCATATCTAAATAAGATCTTTATCTAATTTAAATATGAAACTCTAGGAGCCTAATTATCTAAATTTAATCTGACCTTGCCATTTTACTAAAATTAATTTGTATGCCATAAATAGGAAAAATACATGGCATTAAATATTATCATCCTTCAGCTATATATAATGCACATTATATATAGCTGAAGGGGTGGCCCTTCAGCTATATATAATGTGCAATAGCCACACATGGTTTTACTGAATTTACTAATGACCTTAAACGGATCTGGCTACTTTTTTATGGTAACGTAAGTGATGTAACTAAGTTAAATATATAGTATCAAAATAACATTTGTATTTTCTCAAGTATGTCACTTCTAATAGTATTTTTTATTTTTTATAGTAAGTATTAAGTTCAAAATATTATTGTAAAATGTTTAATATGTTTCATTATAACGTAATAGAAGTTAAATGGTATTTTCGGTCTATCGTTTGTCAGACTTTAAACTTTTTAGCTTATTTTATTCTTCAGACTTAAAGCTTTCATACTTTTTTTAAATTCACTTCCAACAAGCAACCACTGCAAGGCTGCAAGCAACCACTATTATATAACTATAAGTTGAGAGTTAATTGAAAAAAAAGAATAGAGATAAAGAGCAAAAAAACGAGTTACGGAAGATTTGAAAAATTGTAGGTTGAATAAGTCAGGAAAACATGAAAATGAAAGAGAGTTCCAAACAGTAAAAAAAAAAAAAAAAGATGGGGGAAAAAAAAACTAGATGAAAAATAGTTTTTAGAGCATACAGGGACAGATGGTATTATAGAAATTTGTTGATCAAGACTCAAAGACCTAATAATAGAGAAAAGACTAATTGGGCTATAGTTATAGTTGTCATAATGTTCTACAGAGTTTTCTTAAAAATTAGAATCACAGATGCAATTTTCTGGAAAACAAGAATCAGTCAAGCACTTATTAATTAGTTTAGAGAGAATTGAAAAGAGTTCTGCAGACTTTGGAATGACAATGACAGGAATGTTATCTGAACCACGAGCCGTAGAAGAATTTCCTCCATTGAGGAGTAGCCTCCTCGACTGTAGTGGCTTTCTCAGCCTAAAGGAGGTGAAATAAAAAAAAAAAATAATTAAGAAATGGCTTAAGCAACTGAAGCCAGAGTGATTTAGATGTCTAACAATAGGTTAACCTGAGTTAACCAGTGTATAGTATGAAGCCAGAGTGATTTGCATGATTTTGTCTAACAATGACTCTGTTAAACTGTTATTGCAGGAAGAATATGGCTATAAGATTTTAAAGTTGAATTTGAAGGAAAGTTCTTTAAAGATAGTTCTGCTTTATAGAGTTATTTTATTAGAGATAAAAAGATCAGTCCCCTGAATTAGAGATGGAATGTTAGAGCCTATGTTAATGATGTTGTTGAAGAAGTCTCTAGAGCCTAACTTCTTAGAGATAATAAACTGGGAATCATGGAACTTAGTATCAGACATGACCTTGATTTTTTGCAAAAATAAAATTGGTCTTTGTTCACAATAGAATTGTTATATGTTTTATATTGTTTATATTAATTATATATATATATATATTTTTGAAAAAGACAAAATAAATGATTAAGATTAGGTATAACTGCTGCATAAGAAAGTGAAAACCATGAACTAGAATTAGGCTTGACTTATAACCTGTGATAAGAAATAATAGCTTTCATACTTCCTACATATCACGGATCCTCCTGGATCCATCCAGGAGGTTATGTAGGAGGTGCATTTTTTAGCAGATAGATAAGCGCATTTATTAGCAGAGAAAAAAAAAGACTTTAGCCAAAGAGCCACAACTAAGAAAGTTATGAAAAGAATCCTATTCAGTATTAGTGTTGTAGTAAATAGTGTGATAATACAAAAAAATGAACACAGGTTAGGTTAGAGACGAGACAAATCAAGGAATCATTAGAATTGTATTGTAGGGCTTTAGTGCCTGCAGGCGCAGTAGTTTTAGAGTCATACCATTCAGTGTGATGAGCAATAAAGTCACCAATATAATAACAATATTAGCAAAGGCAAGCCTTTTTAGGAATTCCACGCCTTATGACCACACATATAATATTTTGTTTTGACAACTTTGCCACTGATCCTCACATGTTTTAAATTAGCGCATTTGAAAAATCCCCTGAATAAACTAATGTAAATTTAAACTATAATTAATAGTAAACAAACTATAAACTGGAAAGAAATTTAAAAGCAAAAAAAGGTACAAAGCTAAACTGTAAAAAACAATAATCTTGACCTTTTCAATTTTGAATTTATTTTTCTTGTTTAAAAGGTAAACCAGAAAAAATAAATGCATAAATTAAAAATATGTTTTTGTTTTAATTTAAAAGTGTTTCACTACAAAGAATTTAGAATAAATCGAAGTTTTAAAGTTATTTCCATCATCCAAGCTTAATTACTTTGAAACTTAATTATTTAAAAATTTGAAACTTTGATATTTTCTAATGTCTACAAATAGCAAATAAAGCATTAAAAAAAATCCTGTTAGTAGGATTTAAACCCTCACCCAATACAGATATAATATTCCTGCCTCATAGTTGACACAACCTAAGCCCTACATCAAGGTGGTGATTACTATTAGCTTTAAATTATTAAAACGCTTTTAATTAAAATTGAATTATTAGTTGAAACAGGCAACTTATTAATGTATGCAAAAAACTGTAACCAAATTGTCAAAAAAATTTTTTGTGCTCGGTATTGTATATCATATAAGGAGCGCGACACCATGCTTCTCCTTAGAAGGCTTGCAGAGGGGTGAAGAAGAAGGCTTGCAGAGGGGTGAAGAAGAAGGGCAGAGTCAATTTGTTTAAGGTCTTGAGAAGAAGGAGACTAATAAAGAACAAATATAGAAAGGTGATTGAGTGAAAAGGTGCTACACGGAAGTCAGGATTCAAATCTGATTTCTTGGCAAATGAATTGTTATAATTTGTTAATGATTTCTTAATGATTTCTTAACAAATTATTTGATGTGTTAGTATACCCTTAACCAAGTATGTGACTATTGGATTTTTTGCAAATCAAAGGGAAGTGCCCAGCAATACTGTATTTTGAAAAAGGAACAGCCAAATTTAAAATAAAATAAAAATTAAGTAAAAAGTTAAATTAGGATAATTAGTTAACAAATACAGCTTCTTTTTTTTATGTTTGGGAGCTAACTTTAAGACAACGAATTCCAAACATTTATATGTTTGTACTTATAATAAAGATGCTTTTCATCTTTATTATAAGTACAAATATTTAAATTTAATAAATTGTTAAGCATAATTAAAAATTAAATGAAATAAAATATGATTTTCACAAAAGAAATGTTCAGTTTATTGATTAAATTTTGTTATTTTTTTAATTTTTTTCTAGTACTAATGCAATTATGCAAGTTAAATCTGATAACAGGTATTTAAAAGTATTTTAAATTTGTTTACCTTCTTAATTAGTGCTACTATATTCTAGAATATTTCCTGCCCTGTTTAATGAGAATGTTACTTGCCATGTGAGAAGAGAGTACCTACCATGTGTGGCAAAAATATTACCTGCAATGTATGACGAGAGTATTACCTGCTGTGTGAGATAAAAGTATTACCTGCTGTGTGAGATAAAAGTATTACCTGCTGTGTGAGATAAAAGTATTACCTGCTGTGTGAGATAAAAGTATTTCCTGCTGTGTGAGATAAAAGTATTACCTGCTGTGTGAGATAAAAGTATTACCTGCTGTGTGAGAGAAGAGTATTACCTGCTGTGTGAGATGAAAGTATTATCTGCCGTGTGAGAGAAGAGTATTATCTGCCATGTATGATGAGAATATAAACTACCATGTTTGGTAAGAATATTACCTTCCGTGTATGACAAGAGTGTTCTCTGCCATCTATGATGATATATTACTTGTCATGTGAGATAAGAGTACCACCTCCCATGTGAGATAAGAGTATTACCTGCCATATATGATGAGAGTATTACCAGTCATGTATGATAGGGGCTTAAAATATTTAATTTTTATGACTTTATTTTTTATATTTGAATTAAATAACATTTGATCATATAAAAATTTCAAAATTAAACAAAACTAAACAATTACTTAATAATAATTTATTTTATTTTTTATTTAAAAATTTGAAATTTAATTATTTATCAATGCAATTATCTTTTATTTTTAATATAGTTTTCAAAATATTTTGAGTTGATATCTATGTTATATCAAGTTTTTAGTCTGATATAAAATATTTAAAAAACAAATATTTAAATATTATTAATACACCACAAACTTTAAATTAACTTTGCTAAAGCAATAAACATAACCAAGGTTCAGCACTAGACTCCAAAAATGTGTGTGTTTGTGTAACAAAACGTAATAATCTTAGCTGCTTTTTCTAGACATCCAATCAGTGTTTTAAATTTTAAAAAGAATCTTTGTGAGATACTACCTGCTAAGCAATGGCTGTTAGAGAATAGTTTAAAAGGTAAAATTTAAAAAAGTTTATTTTGTTATATTTATAATTAATAGTTTATTCTAAATTATTATTATTATTAGTATAGTTAATATTATTGTTATTAATTTGATTAATATTGTTATTGTTATAATTTTTATTGTGAAAGATTGTTACTAAAGCGCAATAAAGACACAACACTTTTTATTGATCTGTAAACTTAACTGATGCTAGTTTTGCTATAAATTTGGTATATAGTTTCCAAGAGAGGTCAATAGTAATAGATTACCCAAAATAGAAGACAAAATAAAAAATTTTGAGTGTTTTGAAATTTGTTTAATTAATCAATATAGATCAATAATTGATCAATATAGATCCATAAGAACATACAATAAAGATGTAATTTTTTTTTTTTTTAATTTTATTCTGATTCACTACTTACAAAGCTGCAAGCAACCTCTAATTAATTGGGAGTTGAAAAAAGAATAGATTTATAAAGCAAGGAAACAGTTGACAGAAGACTTAAAAAGTATAAGGTTGTATGAGTCAGGAAAACATAAAGATGAAAGAGATCCATGGGTTGAAAGAAACTAGGAGAATAAAAGTTTTTGGAGCATGTAGGGACAGATACAGTAAAAGAATGAAATTTTAAAGAATGACAAGCGAAAATGAGTTTTAGCTGATGGAACTAAAGATGATAGCTCCTTTGAGCAGCGACTGTGGTAGTATTTGCAGAAAAGAGAAAGAGATGCAACTTTACAACAATGAGTAAATGACTGAGTTTTGTTTGATATAAAGTTCACAACCCACTGCAAGCTCAAAGCTGCAGGCGGGTACTTATCCAAGAGGTTGTGCAAGAATCCTGCATAGATTTTAAGCTATTTATAAAGACATGTAAAAATATAAGCTTTTTTTTCAAGCTATTTATAAAGACACGGAAAAATGTTTTTATAAATTTTTTTACTATATTTTTTTATTATATTTTTAAAACTTTTTTACTTTATTCTGAAATAAATCAACAAATAATTTTTTAATCATTTTTTTTTATGGTTAGACAAATTCTTTAATTGTCTGGTTTAAAGTGTTAAATTTTGAGCACTAATATATTAATATTTTGTATAATAAAATGCAACCATCATGTAACACTAGCCTTAAAATAAAGTTGATATTTGCAAAAAATATTTACTATTATATTACAGAAATTGCTTCTTATGATTGTAATAAATTGAATAAGGGTTGAATTAAGCAATTTGAGACTGTCTGAAGGGAATTTGAAACCTCATAATTTCTTTTAGATAAGAAATCATGATTTCTTTTAGAGTAAATACATTTTTTTAATTAAAAAATTTCAAGGGTGCAAAAGATAATGATAGAACTCTAAGATAACAAAGTTTACGAACACATATTTTGATTTGTTTAATTCATTTGATTAAATCCCTTTTTTACTTCTCCATTCAACTTAAATATGTTTTCTAAATTAAATTTATATATCTTAATAAAACAATTTAAGAATGGAGAGATTTTCATCTTGGGCAGGTAGTTATGTTGTTTTGATCTCCTTTATTAAATATACTAATTTATTGTTAGTATTATTGTTATAAATTTGTTTTCATGAAAAAAATTTTTTATACAATTTACAGCTCAAGGTTTATCATTTTACCAGATTCTTAGTCCTAATGCATTTTCTTATGCACACTCCTATATTCGTTCAATTGACAAGGAAGTCAAATCAGTTGTGCATCATCAGGTATTTTTTTTTATTTAGTAAATTTTTATAATTTGTTAAATACAGTATTAACCGTTCAGACTAGTGGTATTCAGTTGGAGGCTAGTGGTAGAACACTCATCTCATTATTGAGATTTAAATCAAGCCTCTGGCCGTAAATCAAGCCTATGGCTGTAAATCAAGCCTCTGACTTTAAATCAAGCCTCTACTGTACTTTACTTGTTACTTTACACAGCACCTTTTTTTTAACAAAGTTTGCTTTTAGAGTTTTAGTGTTGAGATAGAGTTCTACATAAAACAAAAATTAAGTAACCTTAACTGTAAGAGACTTAAGGAAGTAAATAAAATTAATAAAAACAAAAAACTTTTTGTTGTATCTTTTTTATATTTGTTATTATATTTGTTGTTAAATTCTTTTTATTTAATTTGTGTTAAAAATTTATAATTTTAATGATATTTTTGAACTGTAATTTTAATGTAAACTGTTTAATTTTCATTAAGAGTATGATTCAAGTTGAGTGGTTTGATGGTAGAATAAAGAATGTTCATGTCGATCCTGCCGTTTTAAGCAATTATCTCCATCAGTTGTCTAATACTATCTCCATCTACAAAAAGCAGTTTTCATTAATGACTAAAAGTAGTTGGCAATTATTTGGAAACATTTTTGAGTCAAAGTAATATTTTTATTTTGTAATAATATATTTTTTTAAGTCCAACTTTTTTTTTATGTATCATAATATTAGCATGATAAACATTTTAAAAATCATCTGCTGGATTCAATTACTTTTGCTCACAACAAAACGTCTAGTTCAGTGCTTTTAAAGTGTCCAAGAAAAATTGTTGTTGAATAAATCTATAATGCCATACTAAAATAATTGTATATAAAAATGTTAACAAGGAAGTTTATTAATATTATTTGTGAGTAAATATAGTTTGATAAATTATTTTTTTCTTTATATATAAATATACAATTATTAATAAAAATAAAATTAAAAAAAAAATTAATAAAGTTTATTCAGGTTTATATTAAGTTAATAAAAATTTACAAAAATAGAAAACAAAGAATTTAAGATAAATAACCTTCTCTTTGTGTCTCTTTTCTTGAACACATTCAACATTAAAAACATGTAGAGAGCACCCTAGCTTGCAATACCATAGCTTGCAATATCATAGCTTGCAATGCAGTTAGCACGCTTTTAAGTTTAAAATTAATTTTTATGATTGTGTTGTTTTCATTATTTTTTGTTTTCAGTGTTTTTATTACTTTATTTTTAACTAAACATTTAAATTGTTTTTTCTTCATTTTTTTTTTTTTTTTCATTTCTTTTTTTTTATTTTATTTAGTATTACTGTTATTATTGATTTATCTGAAGAAGCAAGTTATTGTTTGCATTTTCTTTTGACATCATTAAAATTGCTATTTGAAGAACAACTTCTTCACAAAAGTTCTTTCAAGGTTATTTGGTTAGTTTTTTTGCTTGTTTTATTTTTTGTTATTAAATTTTGTTATTCTTTTATGTTTATTCTTTTTTTAATCTTTATACAGTTAAGCTTAGCAAAGTAATTTTTTTATCTATTCAAAATCTATGTTGTTATAGATTTTGAAAAAATATATATTAATATAATGTATTATAGGAAAGTTCAAAATTGAATAAAAAAATTATATTAAATCAAAGAGTAACTTATTTAAGCTGTAGCTTTTATAATTTAATATAATAAAGTTTAAAATGTAGAAATATCTTTTAGCGTTATTTTAAAATCACATTGTTTCATACTCTACTCAAAATCATGTTATTTCATACTCTACTAAAAATCACACTAGTTTATACTCTAATGAAAATCACATTAATTTATACTCTACTGAAAATCACAATAGTTCATACTCTAAATCGTATTATTTCATACTGAAAATCATGCTATTTCACACCTACTGAAAATCATGTTAGTTCATACTCTATTGAAAATCATGTTAGTTCATATAAAGAGAGTTGTATGAAATTTTATGAACTCCTTAATAGAAAACTTTTATTGATTGCGCATTTTCTTTTGTTGACTAAATTTTTGACCAAGATCTTTTTTTTCCTTTTATGTTGAACCTTTTATTGTTCAATTTATTATTTTTAAGTGGCAAAATTATAATCAGAATTATACTTTACTGAAAATTATAACTAGAACTTTAAAAGTATTTTGTATTTATTGAATAAATTTTTAAAAATTTAATGTTTTTTAATTTTAGCTGTAATCCAAAATTAGATTGTTTTGAGTCATATTTTGTTGATGAAAATTCTATCAATCAATGCTGGAAGTATATCAATTTAATATTATTATTATCTTTTTTTAGTTTAAAAAGATTGATTTCTAAATATTTTATTATTTGTTATATTAAATATTTAAATATTAGTTGGTTGCTCTCATTATCATGTGGTGGTATGCGAAAAATTTTTCCGGCTTTAAAGTGTGCTTTTAAATCTATGACTATTGGTAAATGTATATTTAATATGGCTTCGTTACAATTTTTTCAAATTATTTTGTTTGTTTAAAAGATACTTAAAATGATTACTGTTGCAATTATAAATAAAAATAAATTTAATTTAAATAGTTTCTATAGTTTTCCATAATGTCTCAAAAATTTAGTATATCAGTGTGTGTGTGTGTGTGTGTGTGTGTGTGTGTGTGTGTGTGTGTGTGTGTGTGTGTGTGTATATATATATTATGTATTGATTTATTATTGATTTATTATTATGATATATATATATGTGTGTGTGTATATATAAATTATGTATAAATTAGTGTATTCTACTAATAGAGTGCTCAATGTTCTTCTACACCTTGTTTCTCCATCAGTAGGATCATCAGGAAGAATGTCTTTTTGCTTGCAGTTACAATTTTCAGAATTTTTTCTTTGAGAAATTCATTTTTATTAATCAATGCAAAATTATGTCCTTTTATAATTCTTTCAATATTTTTTGTACAACTATAGCTTACCTTAATAGTGTTTCTGTTAAAAATTTTGTGCAATTTATTAGAGGGAGGGAAATGTTTGTCTACTAATTTTAAAAACATTTTTGCTGTACGGAGGGTTGAACCAAATTATATTTCTATTTTTATTTCGCTTCTTTGCAATTTTTATTTCAAATATTAGCTTAAAATTAAAGTGCTCAAACTAGAATGAGCAATGAAAGCTGACAGAGAAATATAAAACATTTGTTAAGCACTAATATTTTTTAAGAAATAATATATATATATATATATATATATATATATATATATATATATATATATATATATATATATATATATATATATATATATATATATATACAAATAGTATTGCATACTAAGGTAAGCAATCTGACGTCATACTGAAATAGCATGCTGCTAGGGGCTTCGTTACATACATCGACTGAAAAATAGTCTGACTCGCAGTGGAGTGCTGCTACATCGACTGAGGGTTTGAGATGGGGCAGCAATCGTTTCATTCATCATTCTTCATTTTTTTTTTTCTTTCTCTAAAAAAGCCATATGGATTAAGGTAAGCAAAAAAAGTGAGCAAATACTTATAAAAATATGCTTTAGTAAGTGTTTATATATATATATATATATATATATATATATATATATATATATATATATATATATATATATATATATATATATATATATATATATATATTTTATATATATATATATATATATATATATATATATATATATTTATTTATATATATAATTTTTATATATATATATATATATAATTTATATAAATATATATATAGTTTATATATATATATATATTTATATATATATATATATATATATATATATATATATATATATATATATATATATATATATATATATATATATAAATATATATATATATATATATATATATATATAATTTTATTTATATATTTATAAATGAACAACAACAGCTATAAAAATATATTCAAATTTTATTATTTTTTACTATTATTTACTATTAAAAGTTAAACCAAGTGTATATTTTATATATATCTTTTTTTTTTTTCACTTTTTTTTTAGATAACTCCAGTTTATACTTGATTTCACTTGGACAATTTTATGATAACATGGTAAAAAAAAATTTTTAATTTTAAAATTTTAATTTTTTATTTTCTTTATGAAATCGAGTAATGAAATAGTTATAGAACATGAAATAGTTGGATAGAATGAAATAGACTTTCATGAAAAATACTTTTTATTTGCTTTTAATGAATTAATAAAACATATTGCAAGTATTTTTTGTTTTTGTAGTGAATTATTTTCTTAATAATATGATTAATAAGAATTAATAATTTGTTACATTTTCAGCAGTATAATCATTTTTTCCCAATTAAAAAAGTTTTTAAAAAATAAAAAAATAAATTTTTTTTTTAGTTTTTTAAAAGCACTTTAATTTTTTTTTAGTATTTATTTATTTATTAAATTAATTCATTTCAAAATTTATGTGATCTTATTTTTAACTACATAAAAATCTGTATTTGTATTTTTTATTTAAACTTTTAATTCATTTTTTTTTTTTTCTTAAATATTTATTTTTATTTTTCTGTTTGATTTTTGTAAATGTATAATACTTATAATAACATTTATCAAATCATGTTTATTATTATTATTACCATTACAATAACATTTCAAATCATGTTTATAATTATTATTACCATTACAATAACATTTCAGAATTTTGTGAAAATGAAACAAAAATATGAAAATTTTATTATAATATTTATACATTTTAATGGTGTAAACTATATGTTCTGCAGCTGTTTTTGATAATAAACAATCAAGTTATAATCAAATGTATTTTGTTTATGTTCTTCTGTGACATTTATAAATTTATTCTAATTTACAGTTAAACATTACAGGTTACAACATTTAATACAATAAATACAACAGTTACATACAGTTAAACATTACAGGTTACAACAACATAAAATAGGTGGTCTTATGTTATATTTTACTCTTAACTAAGTTAGTTTTACCAGGAGATTTAAAGCAAATTATTAAGTTATTTTTTTTTATCTATAAAATGTTACCCTTTAGCAAATATGTTTAGATATTTTTAGCTTTTAATAGAAATATGGTAATAATTTTTATTTTATTTTTTACATTTTTTAAAATAAGGATCCACTTGTCAGTTATATTGAAGAAGCCATGTTGATCTCATCATTTTCTATAAATTGTGTTTATTTACAACCCCCTGATTCAATAATTGTACATGATAGATTTGATGACCCTTTGTGTATTTCAAAAAAACTTAAAGCAATCAATGAGGCTGGAAATGGAAAGTTTCACTGGAGTTTTAAATCTGGTAAAAAATTGTTTTTTTTCTTTTTGTATTATTTTACATGCAAAAAATTAATATTAATAACTTCACAGTTTGGTAAATGTCACTGTTATGACTTTTTTAATTGTTATGTTATACTAAACCTAAGTTTGTAACCAAAGATAATATATCATTATTTTATACACCAAGTTTCAAAAAAGTTTTATGAAAATTATTTAATAGAGATCAGAACTCTTTAACATCCGGCAGATACTTGATTTGTTTAAAAAAATGTTTTTTTATTTATTCTTTTTTTTTTTTTTTTTTTTTTTTTTTTAAAGATGTAGTTGAGAATGAAGACTTAAGATTGCTGGCATCTGAGATGAACAAAGCAGGGTTGTATATAAATAAAGTAAGATTGTTGAGTAGTTTATATGCTTTCTAGTTTAAAATTTGTTTTCCAAACAATTGCAAAATGACACTTTTTATCATTCTTTTTTAAAAAAAAGAGTGATTCTCGTTTAGGCTACTTTGAGTAACTTTGAAAAATAGTTGATGGTAAAGACATAAAAAAGATTTGTTTTAATAATTCTTAATTTTTTAAATATTTTTTGTAGCCTTTTTCTTTTAGACAGAAATTTTATTGGAAAAATTTCATTTAAAATGCAGACAAAAAAAAGGTTTTTGATTACATTATTTCTTTTTTTATATTTAGTTTAAATATTTCTAGCATTAATATATATATATATATATATATATATATATATATATATATATATATATATATATATATATATATATATATATATATATATATATATATATATATATATATATATATATCAAGGCGCGACAAAGTTTTTTTTTAACAAACGTTGGCGTTCGTATCTTTATTTATTGATGAATGTCTAATATAAGAGGTAAATGTCAAATAAGGGAGTTTTATTTTCAAATAATTTTTTCATTCAACTAATCTTTTATAAAATTATAAAACAACTTTTATTCTAGTTATTTATTATTCAAACATGCTTTTATTTATGTATTAACTTTTATTCTAGTATGTATTATTAGATATATCAAACATGCTTATTAAATTTATTAAATATTTTATTATTTTAATACAATATTTCATGCATTTGCAAAGGGTGTGCAAATTAATGATAGTTAAAGTCTGTTTTTTTCAAGATGAAAAAAATTGAGTGAATCAAATTTTTTTGTTATGACGAAACGGCTTTTTGATTTCCACATTATTTTTCGCACTATTATTTTTTTTACCATTAAAAAATGGCAACTATAAGTTTACACTGTATGCTTTTGACAAAAAATTATTATAAATTTTTTTTTTTGATGTATTGTATTTTTTTAGAATATTTAAGAAAATAAATGCTAACTTCTCATAGAAACACTTCTGTTAAAAAACTATTACTGCATGAAGTGATGAAGATGGTTCAACTCTGAAAGAAGATAAACCTTCTTGTGAAGTAAAACTTTCAGAATTGACAGCATTAGTAAATTCATCTTTATTTGATGAATTAGCTAATGCTTGCTAATTTTCAGTAAATTAGAACATCAAATTGAGCATTTTGTTTATTGTTGTTGCTGTTTATTTTTGTTGTTGTTGCCATTTTAAAAAAACTTTTTTATTTTATATAATTTTTTTTATTTATGATTTTTTTTTACGAATTTGGTTGTTATTGTACTAGTGTAATTTGGTTTTCACTGTATTTAAATATTCATTTTTATGTTAGTTATGTTCTGCTTGTGGTGTTAGCTTTGGTTTTTTTGATTGATAGATTTGTTTTTTAAGGTTCCGTTCCTGTTGTTTTATTTCATGGTCTAGATTAAAGTGTAAATGTTCTTTTCTTCGCTGTTCCCATTCTGCTTTTTTACTTTTTTATATCTTCCTGTTTCATTATTTTTTGCTGTTTTAAGATTAAAGTTTTTAAATTCTTTTAAATTGTAAGCATACATTTCTCCAGAATCCATTTGTTTAAATTCGATTGGTACAAAGTTGTATCAATTCTTTTATATATATCTAAAACTACTTCGTACTCTTGCCACTCATGTTTTTTAAAAGCTTTAAACTTTTTTAGTTCTTCATCACTGCAATTTTATTATATTAAGTTATTATTAAGTACTTAATATGAAATTATTATATTAATTTTATTTTTAATATTCAGTATTTTTTTTTTTAAATATCATATTATTACTATAATATTAAATTAAACTATGATAAACAAAATAGCTATATATATATATATATATATATATATATATATATATATATATATATATATATATATATATATATATATATATATATATATATATATATATATATATATATATATATATATATATATATATATATATATATATATATATATTCTATTAGATTATATTTCAGCAAAACTGCTGAAATATATATAATCTTTTAAAAACTTTTAAAAGTGTTTTTACATGCAAACAAACATTACTTCATTTAAACAATAATAAAAATTTTGTTAAAAAGGCACGCTTTTAAATAAATGTGTTAGCATGGTTTATTTTAAGTAATGGCAAACGCATTTATTTTAAGTAAAATTTTGCATTTTATTTTTTTTAACGGATGTAAAAATCATACTAAAACAAAAATACTTTCTTTAATAGCGTACTGTCATTTAACTTAAAAGCAACACTATTAATGAAAGTAATCTTATTTTAGCTTGGTTTCTTTGAAAATGTGTTTTAGTAACAAATTATTTGAAAATGCATTTTAGTTTTAGCTAATTGTTTTTTTATTATAAATAAAAAACTATAAATTAATTTGAAAAAAAATTGCTGAAGTTATGCGTTAGTTTTGAAAAATCTTTGAGCGTATGCCAACGTTTGCTTAAGTAAAAGTAAAGAAACATAATGTTAGTTTTTCTTTCTTTTTTTTAAAACATGTTTGTTGATTTGTCGCGCCCTGTAAATATATATATCTATTTTTTTAAATTTAAATATCTAAAATGTTTCAAATTTAGAAAGAAAGATAACTGAAAAGTAATTTTCAGTGAAAAAAAGAAGCTATTGATGGAATTGAAAGTGACTGAAGTTATCAGACTAATAAAAATTCTAAATTTTTTATTATTAAAAAAAAAAACTTTTTAAATTTTTTATTGTGATTTTTAATGTAATTTTAATTTTCATAAATATTTTTAAAGATGATATTTACTTAGATTTTAATGTATATAATTGTAATGTTAAATAAATTTCAAAATATAGATTTTTATTGTTAAACAACTCTTTGATTGTAGACTTGTATGAGTATAATTTATTATATATCAGAAGATACTTTTTAATAAATTTATTTATGAATTCATAAAATTTTCAGAAAGTGTGTGTGTATATATATATAGCCTGATTCGCAAGGGAGTGCTGCTATATCAACTGAGGTTTGGTTAGATTCATCATCAAAGTCAGTCATAGGATTAGGGCAAAGTTTGAATATGTTAATATTACTGTAATTAATCATTTTTGTACATAGATGAAAGTAAAAATGAAATATAAAGTATAATAAATAAATAAAAATAACAAAAATAAATTTAAAAAATATATTTTTATAATGAAATAATAAACTATCTTTTTTTTTTAAATAAAGTAGTAGCCTTTCAAATAAATTATATTTCGATGCATATATTACATATATATATATATATATATATATATATATATATATATATATATTATATATATATATATATATATATATATATATATATATATATATATATATATATATATATATACTAGGTTGGTTGAAAAGTTCGCGGAGCGGCACCTATGTTGCAGTAGTAGAAACAAATTTATAACTGTATTAAACGTATTCATTCTTCGTATGAACGCATAAAAAATTTCAAGTCGATATGTCATTTCAGTCTTTGTTTACAAGCTATTGAAATTAGACGTGTCATAGTATTTTTTAAAATGGAAAATATTGAACATCGTGCTATAATAAAATTCTTTGTGAAAAAAGGTTTAAAGCCCATGGAAATTCATAATGAAATGGTAAATGCGTTGGGTGATGATGCTCCTTCAAAAACAACAGTATGCAAATGGGCTGCGGAGTTTCAACGTGGGCGTTCAAGCCTTGAAGATGACCCTCGCTCTGGACGTCCAAAAAGTGCTACTACTGAAGAAACGATTAATGCTGTGCATGACATGGTTATGAAACGTGAAATTGCTGAGGCTGTGGGCATCTCAGATGAACGGGTATTACACATCTTGCACGATGAATTACGTCTGAGAAAGCTGTTGGCAAGATGGGTGCCGCATTCGCTAACTCTGGATCAGAAACGCACTCGAGTAAAACTTTCTCAAGAACATTTGGCCCGTTTTCAAAAGAATAAAACAGATTTTGTGCGTCGATTCGTAACCATGGATGAGACTTGGGTTTACCACTATGATCCGAAGCTGCGACAACAAACTGCAGAGTGGACAGAACCCGGTTGTTCAGCTCCGAAGCAAGTGAAGGCGTCAAAATCGTCAAAGAAGGTTATGGCATCAGTTTTTTGGGATGCGAAAGGAATTTTATTAATAGATTACCTTCAAACCGGTAAAACGATAACAGGTGAATATTATAAAAATCTTTTGGACCAGTTGGATAAAAAAATTCGTGAGAAAAGACCTGGTTTGCTGCATAAAAAAATCATTTATCACCAGGACAACGCACCTGCTCATATCAGCGATGTTGCAAAGGCGAAATTGGTCGAATTAAAGTACGAACGCTCGGAACATCCACCCTATTCACCAGATCTGGCTCCGTCCGACTTCCACCTCTTTCCACATCTCAAAAAATTTCTACGTGGAAAGCGTTTCTCATCACATGAAGAAGTCATTGCAGCCGTAAATGGGTATTTTGAAGGCCTTCCGGAATCGCACTTCAGAGATGGGATACATGAATTGGAGAATCGTTGGAAAAAGTGTATTGCTCTTAAGGGAGAATATACTGAAGAATAAAGTCATTTTTTGAATCATAAAATTGTTTTTTCATTTCCGCTCCGCGAACTTTTCAACCAACCTAGTATATATATATATATATATATATATATATATATATATATATATATATATATATATATATATATATATATATATATATATATATATATATATATATGAATATATATATATATATATGAATATATATATTCTATCAATTTATTTTATTATCTATTTTTTTAAACATGTAATTTCTGTATGTATTTATTTTTGAATTAAAACTATATGAGGTAATGTTTCTCACTATATTGAACTCATAACTTTGTTTGCTACCAGATAAAAAAAACGTTTTTGATTTAATTCTTTTAAATTTAATTTTAATAATTTTTAATAATACTTTAATTTAGAGTTTTACAAAATAGTTACAACAAATAAATAAAGTTTTACATTTTTCAAGTTTAAAAAAAAATCATTAAAAAATGGGAATTTTGGAGAAGATCAGTGACATTGAAAAGGAAATTGCTAGAACCCAAAAAAATAAAGGTTTCTTTTTTTTTATTATTTTTTTTATTTTTGTGATTGTACAAGTTTTTATGATTGCGCTGACTGTTTTAAATTTTATTTTACAGTTTTTATATATTGGTTAGTTTAATTCTTATATTATTTTTTTTAGTTAAACTTTATTTTTGTTTTTTAGTTAATTTTTATTTTTTTGTTAAAATTTTTTTTTTTTTAATTTAATTTTTTTTATTAAAATTTAGCTACAGAATACCATTTGGGGTTACTAAAAGCAAAACTGGCAAAATACAGGTCAGAACTACTAGAGCCTCCAAAATCAGCAGGTGCAAAAGTAAGTTTAATCTAAATTAATTTTTTTTTTTATTTTTGTTTGTTTTTTTCTTAAGTCTGTATTTAGATGTTGTGAATAACAAAAGGACATCGGATGTGTTGTTTGGCAGATTCTTATGAAATGTTTTGACATTTTGTGTTGCAAAAGTATAATTTTCTGCAAATTCTCATTAAAATTTAATTTAATATGATTTTAAATTATAAAAATATTAAAATCTTAATTTAGTTGATGTTGAAGTATTTCTTTCATATTACAAAGGAGTCTACCTTTAAAATATTACAGTTTTTCTTTTGTAGAAACTATTTCTTCAATAATCTGTTCTAAAAATAAGTTTTAAAGTTACTAAACTGTTAACATTTTCTTTAAACCACTTTTTGCATGATTCCATATCTTTATATTCAAAGTTATGTTTATTAAAAATGTTACTCGTATTTTCTCCCTTGTTTTTAAAAACTCTAAATGTAGCTCTTGCTAGAAGGTGTTTTTTTTGAAAACTGAATAGAGTCACCCTGGAATTTGTTCATTGCAATATAAGTAACAAGAAAAATATAAATTTAACTTTGTTTAATTTATATTCACTTTGGGAAATCGGTTCAAATATATATCTTAATTGAATTAAGGGCAGGATTAAGGCATTCTTAGGCCTGGGGCTGTTATTATAGGAGGGCCTAATGTGGCGATGAGGTAAAAATGCCCAGCGTTAGCGAGGCTATACCTGGGGATCTAGGGGCCAGAAAATTCCTTCCAGGGGGGTTTGTGGGGCAAGCCCCCCAAGTAAGGGGTCTTAAATTTATTAGGGGGGGTAAAACTTTTTGTATAGGTCCACCTTGAATAGATTACTGAATCTCTATTTATTTATTCACAACGCCTCCGAAGGGCTTTGGGGAATTTTTTGTAAAGGCCAGGGGCTGCAGACCCATCCGCCCCCACCTTAATATGACCCTGATTTAATTTTTAGCCATTTATTACGTTTTTTACAGTCGATTTATATCTTTCGTACCTTTGTTATTTTTAAGAAATATTAATTTATCAACACTAAACAACTTAGTCAGAATGTTTTTTATGGCATTTGTCATAGCAAGCTGTTTTTAATTAAATTGCACAGAAAATTGCAAAATTAGATATTCATTTTATAAAATAATCACATTTTTTTACATTTCTCTTATTCTCTTTTCGACTTTTGTTCTTTGCCAAAATGAATTTGTCTTTTTTCTAGACCATAAACCTGCTTAGCTGCTTCAGAGGTTAGTTTTTTTGCTCTTTCAATGGATTGTGAATTGTTAGGAAAATCAATTAGGCAAAGTTTTTGTCCAGATTCAAATGCCTCTCTAATTTTTTCTGAAGTAATGCTAAGTGTTGCTGGTGGCTCAATTTGAATCTCATCAACTGAAACAAGAAAGTCCCAAGAACCAGTATCAAAATTTATTTTTATTACCAATTTTGGTTTAAGCTGAGTTTTGAAAGTAATGTCTTCTTTTAATTTTCTTATTATAAGAATTTGGTTAAGAGCTCGATTTCTTATATGTATATTTTTATCCTGCAGCATGCAGTAAAGAAAATTTTCCTGCAAACAATAGTATGAATTTCCCTGGAGATTGGTAAAAACGATACTTTGAATCCTGCTTTCTTGAAGCTTGACCAACTGAATATTTTTGTATAGGAGTAGACAAGCATCTTTGTATTGTCCAGAGTGCTTGATAGCAAACCACATTACACAGTAAACTTGCTCAATATACTTAGTTACTGCTAATAGCTCAAGAGATGGCTCCTTAGTCCTAACATATAACATCATAATTCTGAGTGCTAAAGTTAGCCATCTGGCATGGCAAACTGGTCCTGGTTTTTTTGAAACAAACCTTTCAGAAATAAAACCTTTTGAAATACCAATGCAATACTCATAGAGTTTGCGCTGGTCTGTACTAAGATCACTTATAATCTCTTTGGTAACAAATAACTCTACCTCTGACTTTATGGGTACAAATTGAAACAATGGCTGTTCATGAAGTGTTAGATTAGATGCAACCTCCCTGATTGGCCCTTTGAAAGAATTAGGGCTAACTGTCTTTCCAACTAATTCTGATATGATATGTCGCAGTGGAAGTTTATTCTGATGCAGCAAACATCCTAAAAGGTGTAAGTTTTTGTTTATAATTTTTTCAAGTTTGACAACCAAACCACTATCGCAACCTGTATTTGAACTTGTATTATCTAAAATAACCGCTATTAAACTCTGAACATTGTTAAATTCCAACAAAACATTAGCAGTAGCATTTGTCATGGTTGCACCAATTCCATTAGGTATAACTACATGAGTCAAATAACTTTGTGATGTGGGTTCACTCTCTGCTGTAAATGTTAGATGGTATTCTTCTTTGATTGCAGCAACAACAACTGGATCTCCATTACTGTTATACCTGATAGAATGTGTCAATGTAAACTTTTTCCATCAACTCCAATAACCTCTAATTCTTTAACGTCAGCTAAATGTTTAGAGCTTATAATACTGCTGATTCTTTTTTTTTCCCCGAAAATTTTTTTTTCTGTTATTATTTGTGCTTTATTACTTTCTTAACAATTCCATAGTCAATTAATACAGCTGTTGCCAATGCAGCTGTTGCAACATCGCTTATTTCATACCTAATAGCAGCTTTTGCCAAGTTTGTTAAATAAGTTTGATTTCTTTCAGCTGGTGCAGTTATCGAATAGTCAGGATCTGTTTCTGAGTTATTTTTATTATCTAAATCACAATCCATATAATGATCACATTGAATTTCTGGAGCAAGTGAGTTAGCAGATCTTATCTTCTGATTAATTTCATGGTCTCGCTTTCTTTTTTTGATGGCAACTGCTTTTTTATCAATTGTACCAATTTGAAATCTTCCAATAGTTCCAATTTTCAATTTTTGATCCTTCAAATATTCTCTATCTAATAGTGGTACCTGAAAAATGTAAAACTTTTTTTAATTGCAAAACATAAAAATTATAATATGTTTAAGAGCTTTTTAACAATTACTTTACATTAAGTCAATTAAAAACAAATATATTGTATATTACAAAGACATGGAGTCAAGTAAAAAAACAATATATAATATATTCTTGTATTATATTACAATGATGCATTTCTTAATAATATATATAACAAAATGATTTGTTGCCTAAGTCAAAGAAAACTAATTACATTATTTTTCTGACATGCTTTTGATTCTGATTACTTGTTTAACAAACTATAGATTTAAATTAAATTAACTTTTATAATTTCAACTTATTTACCTTTTTGTTAACTTCACAGAGACAAGCAAAATGTGTTGTCTTGCAATCTGGTTGGTTCCTGCCCTTCACAGATCTATAAAAATGTTCAAAACATAATTTATTTATCTACAAAATAAACTTAAATGAAAACTAGAACTGCAAACCATGAAACTATTTAATAATATTGATTTTTGTTTTATAATAATAAATATTTTAAAATATATTAAAATAAAAATAGGCCTTTCTTACTTATCATTGCAAGCTATTACTGGAAGTCCACAATTACATGATGACAAATCAAATAAACGCTCAAAATTGCAATCAAGATACTCCTTGTTTTTATTTGAATTTTTGAATTTGCCTTCTGTAGACAAAACTTTGATGAAAAGTCTAAAACATTTTTTGATTACTGACTTCTTGTGTATCAGAGGCAGCTTAGGATTTACTCTAATCCACAGATTAATAAGTTGTCACTGGCAACTTTTAAAACAATCTTTGGAGAATTAATATTTCTGACACTGTTTATGTTTTTTAAAATAAAGTAGGAATATTGAACCGCTTGCCTATAAGTTGGAAGATCACTAACTGGAAGATCAGATGGCAAACCAACATATCTCTTGTTTTCATTACGAGTTCTCAAACTTTTTATTGTATTAGGCATTTTCTTTATATATATATATATATATATATATATATATATATATATATATATATATATATATATATATATATATATATATATATATATATATATATATATATATATATATATATATATATAGATATAAATTATATACCTTTATAAAGTTATATAATTTATGTACATTTCAAATTAATTCATTCAACAGGAAAATTTTTTTTTTTAAATAAGTAATAACTTTTGTATCAATCAAAAGTGTAAACAAAAATAAACTGCAAATACATTTATTCTTTAAAGCTAACAAGTTATTGAAAAAGTACTAAATACATAAGTTATGTATAATAATAGTTTGTTCATATAAAACATTATTTCTAGTATAAAAAAAAAGGTATAAAAAAACAACAACCCAGTTAAAAAAAAATTACCAAAAAATGTGACTTTGTTATTCTAATTATAACTTTTTACTAAGTTTTGATATTATAAATTATAACACCCCTCGTCCTTAAATTATGTGATCACAAATTTACTTAAATTGATATCCCTAAATGATTATGAACTTTTGCACGTTTATTTTTTTTTAAGTCTATATATTTATAGTATAAGAACAAATCCCAGGGTGACTCTTATTAAATCTTGCTGCTGGCAGTGGCTTAATGGACTACTAATAATAGCTTTTACTTTTTAGGTCATCAATTTAAGTAAAAACAATTTTTTTCTGAACAAGATAATCTAAGAATATTTGTCATTCTGATAAAAAATTATTTAAAACAAAATACCTTTAGTTATAATGCCTTTTTAAACATTAAATTTTGTACAGAAAAGTTGTTTACTTGTTTTAACTTTAAAAGTATTTAGTTTTAAACATAGTTTTTTACTTTCTAATAAAATAAAAATTTGAATTTTTTATATTTAAAGTGTTGATCCATTTTAGACACATTGGCTATATAATGAATTCAAATCAACAGATTTTGAGTTTAGATTTTGTCTGTACATACCTGCTTGTAACTTTCCTGTGTGCGCATAATATTTAGTTGTTGTTTTAAAGTTGATATTGGTTTATTATTATATAATTTTCTTATTATTCTTATAATTGTTAATTTATTCATTATAATTATCATTATTATTTGTATTATTATTACAATTTCATGGTATTTACTTAAAGTTAGTTTTTAACTATTTGTAAATAACCTCGATTGTAAGATCTTTTATCGAAATATATTGATTGGTTGATTAATTGTGTCTTTATGGAAAGTTTACAATTTTTTTTTTTAATTCTAAAATATATTTGCTTTTTTATTTCTTTGTATTTCTTAATATTGTTTACTTAAAAATTACAAGTTTTAAATTTACTGTCAACCATATATATTTTTGGTCCTTGAATGAACCTAATTATAATATTTTGAGACTAAAAACTCAAAATGTTAAAATAATCAGGTTTTTAGAATCTTCTTTGATTTTGAATGTTTCCAAATCGAGCCTAAATGATGTCTACCACAAATATTTTTATAAAGTAACATATTTGCCTTGTATTTTTGTTAGTTTATGAATATAGAAATTTTACTTTTTAAGTGATTTTTTGAAATTCAAAGTTCAATAAGGATGAAAATAAATAATTTTCAAAAATAAACTTTTGTTTTTCTAAAAGTTGTTGCTAGGTTTCTAAAAGTTGTTGCTAGGTTTCTAAAAGTTGTTGCTACGTTTCTAAAAGTTGTTGCTACGTTTCTAAAAGTTGTTGCTAGGTTTCTACTTTTGATTGATCAAGTAGATTTTTAAGTATTCAAGGAAATAACTTTTTTATTTATATAGGGTCTTAAAAAAAGGACATTTTTCGAAAAGATAACCATTTGTTTAAAAAACAAGTCATTATTTCACAAATTATCTTTTTCCAGAATTCCAGATTTTTATTTCAACTTTCAGTTTTTCTGGATTTCCGAAAAGTTTTCTGTAGATACAAATTTAAATATATGTTTTTGCAATATGTTTTTAAAACATTACTCGCACACACAAAAAAAAAAAAAAAAAAAAAAAAAAAAATTGAAAGTCTTTATTTAAAGTTAAATTAAGACAAATATTAGGAGAAAAATTTAGGGTTTTTTTTTTTTTTTTTTTTTGCAAATTGTTTTCCCAATATTTTAGGTATGACCTAGTCTCTTTTATTTTTTTATGTAGTCAACTTTAAAAAATGCTTAGTTTATTAATTTGAGTTTTTGATGAAATCAATTTTTCCATAAAACCTACAGGAGTGTAAGTTTCAAGGAAATCTGAGATGGTCACCTGTGAAAGGTTAGGCTCATTTTACATAGAATGACCCTTTTTGAATGATTTTGAACATGGTTATGATATTTTTATTCAGAGGCCCTAGAAACAAAACGGGTTCTATATGCTTGTTTAGAAATACAATTTTTATTTGAAGTAAGCAACTAGACTATTTAATTAAAGATAGAATTTTAAAGTTTATTAGTGTGATCTTGATACACTGTTTTATATTTATTTTAAGGGTGAAGGCTTTGATGTTATGAAATCTGGAGATGCTCGTGTAGCCCTTATTGGGTTTCCTTCTGTAGGAAAGGTATGAATATATTGTTATATTATAGATATATTTGTATATATATATATATATATATATATATATATATATATATATATATATATATATATATATGTATATATATATATATATATATATATATATATATATATTTGTATATATATATATAAATATATATATATATATATGTATATATATATATATATATTTGTATATATATATTTGTAAATATATATATATATATATATATATATATATATATATATATATTTGTATATATATATTTGTAAATATATATATATATATATATATATATATATATATATATATATATATATATATATATATATATATTTGTATATATATATATATATTTGTATATATATATATATATATATATATATATATATATATATATATATATATATATATATATATATATATATATATATATATATATATATATATAAACAGGGGCTATTCTAGAACGTTTTCGTATTTTGTTTTTTGTCAACCGTATTTGGGCGCCGCCCAAATTAAAATTTGAAGACTTTTTTTTATTATGTTTTTTACAACAAATATTGATTTTTTTTCATAAAAAAACACATATTTTCCACTAAATTTCTCAGGGACGGGGGAGGGGGTAATGCCGCCCAAATATTTTTCCAAGAATAGGCCCTGATAAAGATATAGGCAAAAGATACAAACATATTTTTAGCAAAAAACTTTTTTTGTTCTTTATAGTTTACATATTACTAAAAAAATATAATGATTAAAAAAGCAACATACATTAAAGGGATCCTCAAGCGTCGAAACAAGTTGTGTTCATATCAAAGATAAACACTAGAAAATAAGTTAAATGTTAATTAAACCTTCCAAAATAAATTATTGAAAAGATAATAACAAAAGCATTTGCTGTTTTGCCATTATACTTCTGCTTGAGAGCTTAAATTTAGGCTCTCAAATCTACAAGTTTTTTCTGTTAAAAAAACATCTGGTTTCAATAATAGATAATTTCTCTCACCGCAAAGTTTTTTAAACAGTTCAGTTTTATATAATCAGATTGGGTTTTCCCCTTTAAAAATAGTCTGAGGTGGTTATAAAAAACGTTCACTGTAGCATGTTTTTGTTTTTTGTTCAACGTATTGTCACAAAAAAATCACAGAAATAAAATAGTATTTTTGTGATTGAATTTATATTTTATTATATTAATTTATACTTATTATTTTGTTATTTATATTTATATTAATTTATACTTATTAATTAATTATTTATATTTTATTATATTAATTTATACTTATAATTCAAAATACCGTTTTTAAAATGTTCTAATACATATTTATTATATTGACAATAAAAAATTAAATCTTATATTTAATTTTTTATTATCAATATAATAAATATATATTAGCAAAAGGGAAACCCCAAACATACTCTACATGTTTAACTTTATTTGGGTTTTTAAAAAAGAAACTTTTTTTATTGACGTCAAATATTAAATACAAAAACACATTAATCAGACCGGATTTAAAAAATATTAAATACGGACCTTTCCTTTGTGAGAAACAAAATGGCGTTAAAAATTAAAAGTTTTTTGTTAATATCTCATTTAATAAGTTGTTTTGGAAAGTTTAATTAATATTCAACTTATTTTCTAATGTTTATCTTTGATATAAACACAACTGTCTCGACGCTTGGGGATCCTTTTAACATAAAAGAGTAAAGTCACAGTTTAAATCTTCAGTAATTTTTTACTCAAACTTTTTGAACAAGCTCTTTTCATCATTGTGGCAACAAGAGACTCACAATATTTACACTATTAAGATAATTATAAAACTTCATATCATCTTGCCATATAACTGCTGGAATGCATATGATGGACGTTGACTGTTTAAATTTTTTTACCAAGTTATAGTTTTTATTCCTCTCACAGCTGTCAACATTATTTTCTGATCATCGTTTTTAAAACCACATTTTTTTCTACAATCCATGTTGATGCGGCGACAAGAGATTGTTCAAGAGCAGATGATCAACCATCATATCACGTACGATTTTCTCCATTAATTTGCCAACTGCAAAAGTCAAAGAGATTGGCCTATAATTGCCTAGATCTGTGCGTAAACCTTTTTTATTGGTGTAATGTTTGCCTGTTTCCAATCATAAGGAACAAAGCCTGACTCAAATGAATTTATAAACAAAAGTGAAAGCGGTACACAAAAACTTCTGCTACAGTTTTTCAATACAAACAGATGGATACCATCAATATAAGTACCTTCGGTATTATCTAACTTAGTAAGTAGTAATTCAATTTTATTTGGACTAAAAAGTGCTTCAATATTTGGTTCACAGCAGGCTTTAGTACGAAGAGGAAAGTCCAAATTAAGTGGATCATTGGTTGGTTTAGAAAAGGTTTTGTAAAATTCAGGCAATCAGCAATAGCTTTTTTATTAACAAGTTCAGGACCAACAGAACTAATAAATGATCGATTTTCACTAATACGAGGTTTTTAGCAATTTTATAAACAGTCTGTATTTTTCTCTAGATGCAGTTCTAATCTCAACATTAAACCATTTTGGATTAAATTTACTAGGTTTGCTTAGGAATAAATTGTTCACAAAGAGAGGTGTAAGCTAATATGAATAATCTAAAACACTCATCAGCTGACTTATTATTAAACATCTCATTCCAATCCAATGCAATCCAAGTTAAAAAGCTCCATTAGGTCGTTTTTGAACATTTGCTCTTTAAATCTGCAGCTTTTATCTGCTTTTGTCCTATTCACTTTTAACAGTTGATATTCACCATACAATTTCTTCAGTTTTCTTTCACTAGAATCAATCCTCTGAGTCAGAATTCTTGCTTTGCTCCAAATCATATTGATATCTTTAATTGTTCGATTAATACTGTCCTTCACAGTGAGGTGTTATATATATATATATATATATATATATATATATATATATATATATATATATATATATATATATATATATATATATTCAGAGAACTGTTTTTAACATTTTGTATTTTATATAGTCAACTCTTCTTAATGTCATGACTGATACAAAAAGTGAATCTGCTTCATATGAGTTTACAACACTTACATGTATACCAGGAATCATTCCTGTAAGTTTAAACTTTCAATGTTTTTAATTTTTTTCTGATGCAATTTTTTGGTACTAAGTTTAGTTATGATTTATTACTTTTATTTTTAACTTTTTACTTTTTATCTATTTTTGTTTAAAATTACTTCCTAACCCTTAAGTTAATTATGAGCTTATAATTTAGTATAATGGCGCCAATATTCAATTGCTTGATTTGCCTGGCATAATAGAAGGAGCTTCTCAAGGTTTGTGTATAAGAAACATGAAAATTTTTGTTTTTAAAAAGATATTGAAAGAAAAAAAATTTAAAGTTATGAAGTTTTTAATGTATTGAATATTAGATAACAAAGAGTTTTTAAGTTTTGAATAGTTATTAAGAATAGTTAAGAGTTGTTTAACACGAGGAATGATATAGGACCTTATCTTTAAAGTACTGTACCTGTGACTTATCACATTCCACTCAGCTCATTCCAATTTTCCACTCAGATACATTTAACAATACAACACAGTGAAATTTAATGCTGAAGAAACATCTAAATGATTTTAACAGTTTGCTTTACACATGTAATTTACTGCTAATTAACTAATTTCAAAAAATCTTTTTCAAATGAAAGTAAGAAATAGAAGTGATTATTTAAAACAACTTGTAAAATGTTTGTTGCTAACAAAAACATTGTTATTTATCTATTTTAAGTTCAGAATCATATTGTTGTATGTTTTTGTAGAAGTAATTTCATTACAAATTTTTTTATGTAGTATTAACCCTTTGGCTGCTTGATAAAATTAAAAGATGTTTAGAAAAATTCAACTATAAAAACTGAAATAATGGAAAAAAAAAAAACAGTTTTGAGATTTGTATGTTATTTTTCATTTTATATCATCTAGATAACTTTAAAACAAAAAATTTAAGCCCTCATTGTATAAATAATCAATGATATTTATAAAAGCAATAATTTTTTGCAATAAAGGTCATAATTTTAAAGATCAGTTTTAAAAACCACAATTGTGGCTTGCTGCACTTCAGCGAAAAAGCCACTTGGCTTGCCGCAGTCAAAGGGTTAAAAACCACTCAAACTTTTTTGATAGAAAAAGTTAATAATTTTTTTTACAATTTAAAATTCATAAATAATGGTTTTGCTAATCAAACAAATCATCTTTTTTATACAACTTTTGAAGTTAGGAATATTGTCATTTTTCATAAATACCGATTCAAATAGCTGATTTGGTCTATTAAATATTTCTTTAACTGTTGTCAAAGACTCGCTATTTATGTTTACCACTTACAGACATATAGCTCTAAGCTGCCATTTTGTTTATCATATAAGGAATTTTTATTGCAACTCACTCAGATGATGCATTTACATGTGGATATATAAAGTAAACATGCATAACAAAATCTAATATTTTAGAACTTTAGAATAAATATATATATATATATATATATATATATATATATATATATATATATATATATATATATATATATATATATATATATATATATATATATATTATATTTGTATATGAAACTATTATTGTTTTTAGGTAAGGGACGAGGCAAACAAGTTATTGCAGTTGCAAGAACATCCGATTTAGTGATTATAATGCTTGATGCAAGTAAAGGAGAAATCCAAAAGTAAATTTTATTTTTCTAAAACTGTGTGTTTGTGTGTATTTATATATACCTATAATTTGACATCTAAATTTACTGTTTGTGCTGAACAACGGCTCTTTAATACTCTTTGTATTTAAAAGTGACAAAATCAAGTACACTTTATGTAAAAACCACAAAATAAATTAAATTTTATCGTTTTTTAAAAAACCATAAAAACGCAACCTAATAGACTGGTATGGTTTTATTTTTTTAATTAAAAAAATAAAACATTTTAAATTTTTTTTATTTAATTTTTACTGTTTATATACATCCATGGAAAAATAGGTGGAACATGCAAGAAATCCTGCTAAATTGACTGACAAATAGGTAAAATATGTAAGGAGTGCAGCTACATTGACTGACAAATATGTAGAATATCTGAGGAGTGTTGTTACATTGACTGACAAATAGATAAACATGCGAGGAGTGCTGAAACATTGACTGGGCTTTTGATCTGGGCAGGCTGTTTGTAAATTATTTTTTTTTTTTTTTAATTTTTTTTTTAAACATCAAGTATACATTTTATGGTAAAAATTAAAGAAGCAAAAGTATATATAGTGCATTTCCATTTCTGTGCGTGATTTTTTATTTTTATTTGTTTTACGATTAGAAGCTAGGGCTTATAGCAATATACATACTAATTTTTTTAAGAATAAAAAATTTAAAAACTAAATTTTTTTCACATTTTCTGAATGTTTAAATATGTATATTTTTATCATTTGTGTGTGTGTGTGTGTGAATTATTTGATAACTGCTATTTCATCGAAAATATACTAAATATGAGTTGTAAAGATATAATATTTCACTTGAAATACTCACAAGCAATTTAATTTCATATAAATAACTACATGAAGTCAAAAATTCGTATATTTCAAAGATTTCCATAGGTTTCCTATGAAACTTAAATTTTCTGAGGAATTAAAGTTTATTTATCTAGTAACTAAAATTTGCGTTTTTTGTTCCACTTCAAACTAAATTTATTCTTTGATAATATTACTATTGTATATTGCTCTTTGTTTAGAAAATATTTTTATAAATTAGAATTAAATTAAAGTAAATTAGAGATTTAGGTTAGCCATTTTTATTATTATGAAAATAATAGACAAAACATATATGAGTTTCCAAGAATGATTTTTTGGAAATGCCCTATATCTACTGCTGCTAATATAGATAACTAATTGTTATCATTATATGCAAGTCTTTCCTATCAATATAGCATTCGGCTTTTTTAGAAAAAGAAGCGAAAATGAAGAATAATGAAATAAAAGATTGCTGCCCTACGCCAAACCTTCAGTTGATGTAGTAAAACTCCTTTGCGGCAGCAGCCTAAAAGTTATTCAATGTATATATTGTATGTAACTTTTTTTTTTAATAAAATATGTTTAAGATAAAACCTTTTTATCACAAGAAGTTCTTTACCTTAAAAACTTGGATAAAATTCAATAAATCACAAAAAGTTATACCTTGAATAATTGTTAATATAAAGTTAGCACAGCTTTTTGCCTGTCTGCAAAACATCTATTGCAGTCGTTAACTCATCCTTAATGTCTGCAAAACATCTATTGCAGTCGTTAACTTATCCTTAATGTCTGCAAAACATCTATTGCAGTCGTTAACTCATCCTTAATGTCTGCAAAACATCTATTGCAGTATTTAACTCAACCTTATTGTCTGCAAAACATCTATTGCAGCATTTAACTCAACCTTAATGTCTGCAAAACATCTATTGCAGTTGTTAACTCATCCTTAATGTCTGCAAAACATCTATTGCAGTTGTTAACTCATCCTTAATGTCTGCAAAACATCTATTGCATTGTTAACTCATACTTAATGTCTGTAAAATATTTGGGCAATGAATTTACCAAGTTCTTTAGCTATTGTGGATCATATATTTTCCACTCGATGAGAATTGTTTTGATACAAACTACATGGTTTTTATTTAGTTACTTTAATTTTCAAAAGATTCTATTAACTTTAAATTGGATTGAGGTTTTATCATTGAGGAACCCAATCTAACACCTTAATACTGTTGGTTTTTTTGAACCACTGAGTAGCTAACTTTATAATTGTTTTGGATCTCCATCCTTTTGAAAAATGAAATCAGAAGCAGATATATATATATATATATATATATATATATATATATATATATATATATATATATATATATATATATATATATATATATATATATATATATATATATATATATATATATATATATGTATATATATATATATGTATATATATATATATGTATATATATATATGTATATATATATATATATATATATATATATATATATATATATATATATATATATATATATATATATATATATATATATATATATATATATGTGTATATATATATATATATATATATATATATATATATATATATATATATATATATATATATATATATATATAGAGGCTTGGACAGGAATGGCGTTCCATTGAGTGCTACTGCTGACCATGCAAATGATTTTATTTTTTGACAACTTGACCACGACTGTTTAGATGATTTTTAAATATTTTAGAAATGCGCTGAAAAATTTAGCGCTAAAAAAAATATTATATATATTATTTTTAAATTGAAAAAAAAATTGTTTAAAAAAATACTTTAGTCTGTTTAAAATAGTAATTTTTAATCATTTCATGCTCTGACTAGTTAGTCAAGTTAAAAAAAGAAGTTTTAAATTATTGTAAAAGTAGAAATGAAAAAAATACGGAGAATTTCGTTTAACTTATCCCACAATTATGGATCACCCACAATAATGGATAAGTCTAACTTTCTTTGCTTATTTTTTAGTAATTTTTGCTTATTAAATTAATTTCAATCCACTCAAAATTTTTTATTATTAATTAATGAATGAAAACACACAATTAGAATGAGTAATAATTATTGTTACCACTCGAAAAAAAAAGAAAACCGCAAAAATATTACAAGCTATCAAAAAGTAACAGCTCAAATGTCATTGTTATTGTTTTGCTAAGAAAGCGAAGTTTCTACTTTTGTATTTTTTTGCTTGAACCATTTGTTAATAATAGTAATAAATGGCAGAAATCAAAGCTGAAAGGTATGTTTAACTAATTTTTCAATTATCAGGCCGACAAAACCTTATATAATGACTTAATTTTACAATAAAACTTTGATCCATTGTTGTGTTTTTTTTCATGAGTAGTAAACATTTATGGATCACTTAAAATAAAACATGAAAAAACTAGTTTTCATTTTGATTTTTGGTTCTAGCAAGCAAAAAAAGTCTTCAGAGAAGAGTTACACTTTGGTTCTTTTCGCAATTACGAGTTACACTTTGGTTCTCTTCGCAATTACAAAGAGTTACACTTTAGTTCTCTTCGCAATTACAACTGCTTCAAAAACCACTGCAAAGTTTGTAATTCCTTACTCAACTTTCCGAAATAACATTTTTGGGATCATTAAGACTAATAAACCTGGTCCTATGATTGTTTTGACAACCAAAAAAGAACAGAAAATTGAAGAGACAATAATTTACCTTGCGAAAATTGGATTTGCTGTCATTGAGACAAGATTGGCTATGATTGTTCTTATTATGTTGCTAAAATCAAAAATCAAAGACATATTCCCAAAACATTTCTATTGAAAAATTGGACTTCAAGGTATTTAGCACGACATCCAATTATCGGCAAGCAAATTACAACATTTTTGGGAAAAGCTGGTTCAAAAATCACTGATGTTCACATTAAAAATTGGTTTAAAAAAATCAAAGAGTATTTGAAAAAGGAAAGCATCAATATCAACAAGTTTGATGAGCCTGACAGAATTGTGAAATTTGATAAATCTGGATTTAAAGTTGTTCAACGAAAATTTAAGGCTCTATTAATACAATATTGCAAATAATTGCGAAAAGGAAGCGTATACAGCTATTTTTGGCTACACAGCCTAAGGAAAAATTGTTCCTCCAATGATTATTTATCCTGGGCGTCGAATTACGAGAGGTATGGCCATATATACACCATCAGAATGGGTTATAGGAATCTCCGATGAGGGTTGGCAAACCTCTAAAACATTCTATTAGTATTTATCAAACAGCCTTGTCAAATGGCTTGACAAAAACAATGTCAAAAGACCTGTCATAATTTTTGTTGATGGTCATAAAAGCCATGTAAACATCAAGACCGTTGAATATTGCAAGCTAAACGGTTTAATTCTCATCTCTCTCTCTACCGAACGCAACCAGAATCCTACAGCCTCTAGATTGTACTTTTATTGGTCCATTAAAACAAATTTGGTACAAAGTTTTGGCGAGGTTTAAGAATTCAGACCCACAAGCAAGAGTGAGAAAACAAAATTTTGGACAACTTCTAAAATCAGCCATTGATACTTTCACAAATTCATCAATTTATATCAAAAAATGCGGTTTGTACCCGAGCAATTTTGATGCAATAGATTTGACACGTCTTCCAGCCTACAGATGTCATGCCCAATGTTCCTAAGACCTTATTTTATGATAAATTGCAGTTACTAAAGTCAGAATTAACCTCATAGCAATTTGAAAGTTTTGAAGAAAACCACAAGAAAGATTGGTATGGACCTATCACGGATACAGCGCTTTTCAATCTATGGAAGTCTGTGAAAGACAAAAGTGAGGGACTATTATATACTCATCCATTGGGGTTCAAAAGAGTTTATATCAGGATAGAATGTGATGGTAAAGCGACTCAATGTGACAAAATAATTCAGCAAAAATGTTTGGAAACAGCTGGAAAAAATTCAAAACCAGAAAGCTTTGATCCCATGATAGACTGCTTTGTTTGGCCAAAAAAATTCTAAATGAATGTTCACGAAGTCGTAAATCTAAACATGTTCCAACTGTTGCAACAAGCAATAATTCATTGGAATGGTTTCAGAAAAAAGATCAAGAGAAAAAACTGAAAAAAGAAGAAATACAGAATTAACAAATTCAACGAGAGGCATCAAAACTACAAAAAGAACAAGAAAAGGCAGAAAAAAATGAAAATAAACCATCTGAAAAAAAGAAGAAATTAGCTAAAAACTAAGTGTTCACTGTTTTACAGTTTAAAACTGAAATAAAGAATAAAATATTCGTCCAAATTTTTATTATCCATAAAAAAAATTTGGACGTTGTGTCTATTCTAATCGATAATTGTCGTCACTATTGTTCATGATCCATAATTATGTTTTTTATAACATTTTGCAAAAAGTTTTTTTTTACTTATTTAGTAAAATTGATTTGAAATATTTACACATTTAAAGTAAACATTTTAATCTACAGATAATGTTTTTACAAAATAATATATCCTTCTTTAATGTCATTTAAAAATACATCCAAACTATAAAAAAAGCTTAAGTGGTCCATTATTGTGCGATAACTGCAACTTAAATAATAAACTTTTAAAGATTTCTAGAAAGACATGGATGAAAAAAGTTTCAAACAAATTATTTTATTTAAAACCTTTGGATAAAATAAAAACTTTAAAAGGAAAGATCAGTGATTAAAAGTTATTTATAGGGCAACAATTTTTTTTATTGCATATAAATTGTTAAGACATCAAAACCACCGAGGTCAAATTGCAAATAAAAAATATTATATGCGTGGTCAGTGAGTTTAAATTAAAGATTATATATATGTATATATTAAATCTTTAAAGTTGTTTTAATCATTAAGTTAATCTTCAATAAAACAAAAATTCTTTTTGCCATTCAGCTTAATATCTTTTGTTTTTTATTTGTTTCAATTTACCTCGCAAAGGCCATGAAGGCCACTCAGCCGAGGAGGCTACTTTTAGTTGTGGTTCTCACTTTTAAGGCGAGCGCTCTACCACTACACCTCTACTGCTTAGCTACTCGCCTTAATACTTAACTCAATATTAAATAAAAATCAGATGGAACAATACTTACAAAAGAGTTTCTTTAAAATAAATAAAAAATGGATTACTATTGAGTGTGTGCAAAAATAATGAGACACTTTTGCACTTTTAATATTTTATGAATAAAATATAAACAAATATAACTTAATTGTTTATGATTCATTATTGTCTATGACTGTTTGCTAATGTGTAAAGAATGAATACTCTGTGAAAAGAACTATTTAGATTTGGAGGCAAAAAAGTCTTACAGGTAAGATTTGATTTGGGTTTCATTTTTAAAACCTTTACCACGTAGATTGTTGCTCAACAAACAAATCAATAACCAGTTAGGGCTAAGTCAGTTAAATATGGTGTGTGAGCTAATATATCTAAATTCCAATAGTTATTGCTGAGTTGATTTGGTACCATATGGTCAAGCATTGAGAAAATAAGTTTTGCTATCCAAAAAGTTTTGATGAATTGGCTTGACTCATGGAGAAAATAAGGTTTGTGTTGCTATGGAGTTAAGAGTTTTTGCTTTTTTAGTTGAGCACAATAGATCAGTGACAGTTGTATTAATAGGAAGCAAATCCCAATACCATGTTTGTCAAACAATACTGATTTTTTTTTTTTTTTTTTTTTTTTATGTGAATGAAGTAGAGTTTTTGGAATCAGTATTGGCTTTTGAGTAGAGCTGTTGTGATTAACTTTGAGGTTTCTTGTCACCTGTAATAATATTGTCAAGCCAACTCATCGTAACCTTTTTGGATAGTAGAAAAGTACTAAATATTTTGTTAAATCAGAGTCAAATCATGAGAAACCCAAACACCTTTTTTTTTTAGAAAAAACCAAGCTGATTTAAATAATGTGAAAATAGTAACAACACCCAAGAGTATTTACCAAGCAGAGTACAGTTTTTAATTGGGTTGCTCTCAATTAGTTTTTTTAATTTCCAATTTCAAAGAATGTCTAGACCTGGGTTCATTTTTTAACTTGTAATTTTTTCTTCAAAATGTTTAAACCAATTTGGAGGTCAACAAAGAGGCCTGAGCTATTGCACAAAAGATATTTCTCTTGCATTGGTAATCATATAGCAGACAATGCCTAATATATTCTTTGGATTTTTGCATTTTTTAAGTATTTAATTGCACTAAATAAAAGCTTGAAACATATATATAGTACTCATGTGTGTGTGTGCGCGCACGCACATAATAATTAAATTTAGATGAAATTAAATAAGTATAATTTTAAATGATAAAATTAAAAAGTGTAAAATTTATTTTTGCACACACCCAATAATTTTTCTGATATGCTCGTTTATTTTGCAATTTGTATTTTACAAGTTTCTTACAAAAGTTAAAATTTTTTACATTAAGTTATTTTTATTAATACCCGGGCTGTGGTTCTTGAGGTTGGTAAAACCGCTACTTTGACTTATGGTTTTAGATAAGACAGCAATCTTTTGTTTCGATTATTATTAAGCTGTATGCTATAAAGATAACATAACTAGTAAGCATTTGCTAATATCCTATTTTGCATATACATATATACATGTATACATATACATATACATATACATATACATATACATATACATATACATATACATATACATATACATATATATATATATATATATATATATATATATATATATATATATATATATATATATATATATATATATATATATATATATATATATATGCAGATGTTGTTATAAAATATAATGTCATTACTCAGTGTCATTATAACATCATACTGAAATACCTTCACTAAGATTTTGGGTATGGGCAGGCAGTATCTATGTATCACAAAATTTTGAAATGTATTCTGAATATTTTTATTTTATTTTAAGAACCCTTTTAGAAAAAGAGTTGGAAACATGTGGAATTCGCCTCAATACAAAGCACCCAAACATATATTTTAAGGTTAAATTGAATTGTTATGGCTTTTACAGTTTTATACTAATTTTGTTAGTTCTCGTTCATTTGATGTTTTTTTTTATTATTTTCAAGTAAATTTCAAGTTATATTGGTTTATTTTATAACAGGTTATCTTCTGAAAAACATTTTATTCATTCTTCACTAAATATTGTTTATTTTATAAATAACTGTAATCCGTGTCATCTAGTATATACATTTGCAATTTCATTACATGATTTTCCTAAAGCAATTTTAAACAACTTATACAAACTAATTGTGAAGTGGTCATAGTTTTTACCAGGATTCACAGTTTTACTTTTTCCTATATTAATATTTGTTCATTTGTTTCTTTCAAACAATTTTAAAAAATGTCAATGGTTCGTAGACTTTTTATTTTAATAAATCATTTCATTAAATTTTAAATCTTGTTTAACCTTTTAATAAGTACTTTTATTTTAAAATTAATTTTAATAATAAAAACTAATTATGCTCTAAATAAGGTTATTTTGGAAATGTTTTTTAGAAATTTGTTCATAACTTATAAATAAAATAAATGTTAAATATTATATATTATATTTATTTATAAAGAATTTTTGAAGTTTTCAAATTACAAGTTTTGCAAAGTAGAAATTAAACCACTCAATCTGTTGTTGTTAATTTAAACATTTAATTTATAGTTATTTTAACATGTCTGATAATTGTTTGATTGTTTTGCAGTTTTATTAGTTTTTTGATATCACATTTTTTTTGATATTGTAGATTTTTTGATATCACAGATTTTTTGATATCGCATTTTTTTTTATTTCACAGATTTTTAAGTTCATCTTTATTGTAAGTTTATTAAAAACTTAGATTTTTCTAATTCGTTGCTGATTTTGTTTTGCAAGTTTTAACAGAATAATTACTAATCAACCTAATTACTTAAAACATTAGAGGATAATTGCTGTCATCATTAAAATTATTTTAAGTTAATTTATTTATTTTTTAATTTTTTTTTTATTCACCTCCTCAAGGCCGAGAGGGCCACTACAGATGAGAAGGCTACTTAATAGTGGTTATAACCCTCTCTCAACTCTATAACTCCGAAACACGAACCTTGATGAACAAGGCCGCTGTGCGGAGAAACAAATTTCACAATAATTAGTAAGAATCTGAATTTCAGCAAAAATGGCATCAATTTTTGATGCCATTTTTTTCATTTATTATCTGATTCATTATCAGTTGGTGATTATTTGATGTTAATATGAAGACATTCTAGTATGAAAAGAATTTTTTTTTTTCAGTTTTTGTGCCTAGTAGTTTTTTAATGGTTTTAAATAAAAAGTAAATAAAAGTAAAAAAAACAATTTTGCAAAGTTGTTACAAAGTTGTTGACAATTGCAACAACTAAAGTAAAAAAAAAAAAAGTGAAATTATTTATTTTATTATTGATTTTAAATATTTTTTTTTAAATGCAATGTCTTAAAAATAATAATGTTACATATTAGTGTTTTAAAAGTAAAAACTATTACAAAAAAAAAATAGTTTCAGTTAATTTAAGCAGTTTAATTTGTTTTCAGTTCAACTTATTTTTTATTTTTCAATTTATTTAATTTTTAAACATGCTAAGCTAATGGAAAAGTAGCTACTGAAAAAACTAAGTTATTTACAAATTTTTTAACTGTAAAGAATTCTTTTTCTCTGCTTTTAAAAATGTTTTTAGTTTTGAAACTTTTCATTTATGCATTTTATGTGAGTTTAGCTACCTTATATTTATTTTGTTCTTGGTTTAATTTTTTACAATTAGTTTACTGTTTCTTTTAGATTATTTTTACAATTAGTTTACTGTTTTTTTTAGATTAAAAAAGCCGGTGGTATTGCTTTTAATGCCACTGTTACTTTGACACACATGAGTGAAAAGATGGTGCAGCTCATATTACACGAATATAGTATCTTTTTAAATGCGGATTAAGTTTTATATGATTAAATTTCCATTTAATCTTTTGATGGATTGGGTTGCTTAAGTCTTACATGATCTTGAAGATATTATTTTATAATAAGACAAATTATTATTAACTATTTTTGTGCCAAAAATCAAAAAATTTTGGATTTTCATTGATTGAACATCTAATAAGACATAAAAATACAAAACATCTAATTAAGGTGAGTTTCCACTCATCCGTTTTTTCACGGGAAAGGGAAGGGAAAAATAATCACTTGGGCATGCGTATTATAAGTTTTAATTTGTCCGAAGTAAAACTGCGCATACTCAAGTGATTATTTTTCTCTTTCCTATTCCGTTCCCATAGAAAAACGGATGAGTGGAAACTCACCTTATGACTAATCTAATAAACATACAAAACATCTAATAAGACATATAAAAAGGGTAAAATACTTCTATGATACCATGCATTTATGCTCATATTTTTTTTAATAATATTTTTTCTAATATTTAGTAGAATCTAGTTTTTATTTCTTGCAAGAATCTGCTGAAGGGTCACACGACTGAAAGACACACAACTGAAAGGATTTTATCCAGGAAAAGCAAAACTATTATATTAAACCTCCAGTTTAATTGTGGATGAGCCTAGAAAAAGTCTGTAAATCTTGAATATCTTCTGGTGTTTTAAAAAAGTACTTTACAAACTGGATGTAAAAATATAGGTGTTTAATTTCAACAAGAAAAAAAAAATTCTTTCTCTAAGCTAAGACATTTATATGTCTTAGCTTAGAGAAAGAATTTTTTAAAGATATGCCCACATACAGAAACTTAGATATCTAAAGCTCACATACCACTATTTGCATACCACTATTTGTATATCCTAATATTTTCATATTTTTATATACCACTATTTGCATATTTGCATATTATCATAGTAACAGAACCTTAGATATTTTGTTAGATAATTATGTTAGTGTGTTTTACAAATAGAGTGCTCAATGTTCTTAAATAACAGAGCAATGATAAATTAGTAAAAACACATCTAATTTTTTCTTCAACATACTGTTTCTTCTTTGTAGGATCATCAGGAAGTAAATATACATCAGGTGTAAATATGTATATTTAAACCTCTTTTTTTAAATTTCAGATATTGGTTTTGTTTCTTGGCTTGCATCAAATATTGTTGCTGAAGCACTCTAAATATAAGAAAACAAAATAATTGCAATAATTTTGAAGTAATCGCTTCTGCAAATGATTTTTTAACTATCTTAACTTAATTTTAAAATAAAAACGTAAGTTTTTAAACATTATGCTGAGTTATCTTGGGTAGGGGAGGGCAGACAACACTGTGTGTCTGCACTTGTATTAGTCTATTTGTTCATGGGAAGGATTGATAAAGATTGATTTTGTGTCATTATTTCTTTTTATTTTTTGCTAACAATTAAGTTCACATTTAAATGTTTTAATTTTCTCTTTTTGGGTTGTTTTTTTTTTTTTTTTTTTTAAATCTTTTTTTTAGTTTAAGGATTGTTTATTTTAAATTAAGTTTGCTTTGTTTTTTTTTTAGCATATTTTCAAAAGTTCTAATAATCAAAACTTGCAAAGAGCCATGGCCAAGTTGTCAAAACAAAGCATTATATGCGTGGTCATATAAGGTGTATGACCGCATGCCTCTTATACAAAGGCCTGCACCATCATCTTCACCATCATCTCCACCACCTAAACATCGAAGCAACATGTTGATCTTGTTTTTTTTTTTTTTTTCAATGATCTACATTATAATTATCAGTTCTCTTTTTTAATTCGCTGACTCATAAAATGTCTAGGAACATGACTTATAACAGTAAGAGTGTAAAACTTTCTTATATCTTTAATAACTGACCAAACTTGTATAGTTTTTCCACACCTTCATTGTTGTCATACAATTCCTAGCACACAGATCATTTTTCCATCGCAGCACTTAAATCTCTTGTATTAATATTTTCAATATTTTTGTAATTAGTAGCTAAACAACTAGTACTACGTTTAATCAAATGCTTTGTTGATGCAGTAACAGCTTATTTTAATGGCAATAAACAGAATAATGAAATTAGCACGCTTGCAGATTTTTACGCTGCATAAGACAATTGAGTTTTTAGGCTATTTGATGCCAGTTGCTTTGTTTCTACTAATTTTCTTGTGTGTCATTTTTTGTGTCTTTTTTTTTTTTTTTTATATAACTATACAATTTTTTTCTCATTTTCTTTTTTCTAATACTTCTTTAATTTTGGCTTTTCTGGATTAGTAATGCTGCTTTTCTACAGAATTTAGCTTACTTGTTATTATTGATATTTTCCTTGTTTTTTTTTTTTATTTTCTGCCTTTTCATGCAATTCAGAATCAGATATTTTTGTGCCATCTTGCTTTTTTACCACATATACTTGCATCTCATAGCAATTTTAACATAACTTTAATAAATAATTTGTGTTTCCATATTTACTTCCTTTAGAATGGTTAAAATAAGCAACTGGAAAGAAATGTTTTTTAATTAAGTTTTAAAATTATATTAAAACTTAATCATACTTAATCTTTAATCACACTTAATCTTTAACTTAAAATAAGAAATTTTTAATGCTGAAGTTCTATTTAGAGAAGATGCAACTGCAGGTGAGTTACTTTTTAAAGAACAATAATAAAAGTTTTGATTATCATGAATAAAAATTTTTAATAAATATTTTCAGATGAGTTTATTGATGTAATTCAAGCAAATCGAGTTTATTTACCATGTATATATGTAAGTTTTTTGTTGTTTTATAATAACACGAATTATTTATTGTCTTATTACATAAATTAGGCGGTGTTATTGCAAAATTTGTAAAATTTAACATTTCAGTATGTCATCATCAGTAACAGCTCGTTCACTTTTAAGTTGGCAGTATAAGATATAAATAATTCAGTGCTGTCTTTTGACCCATTTTCACTCTTGTAATAGTATCATTCCCAGAATAGAATTTAATCTTGTAAAGAACTAAAAAATTTATTATTCTAGATTAAAGCAATTTCAATGTATTAATTAGACTTTTAACTAATGTGATTTGTTTTCACCAGTTGACACCATGGATTAGAGGAAAGTCTAAAATTAAATGTTTTTTTAATAATGAGAGATTATTTTTAAATTGGAGTTTTTAATATTTATAAGTACTATAATTTTATGCAACCGTGGCACAGTGGTTAGAGCGTTTGCTTTAGAAGCAGGAGATCCAGGTTCGAAATGAACTCTAGACATTTTTGCGTTACAGTAAAGATGGAAGTGTGAGCTTCCTATTTAAATGCACTTCAGCGGTGCTCTGTGACAAGACCCTTAGGCCTTCATGGGGCACCTAAATAAAAAATAAATAAAAATTTATAAATGACATGTTTAGGTATGTATTACAAATATACATAGTTTCTATCTTTAAGTATAAAAAGTTCATTTTAGTTTTAATTAAAAGCCTTTATACTTCATATAAATCATACTTTTTAAATTATTCATTTAATTAATATATATATATATATATATATATATATATATATATATATATATATATATATATATATATATATATATATATATATATATATATATATATATATATATATATGTTCTATGTAATAAATTAACAATAAAAATTTAAAAAAAAATTTGAATAAAAAAACTTGTAGGGGTTGCTCAAGACCCTTAAACGTTAAATAGGTCCCTAATATTTAAAAAAAAAAGTTTTTTAAAAGTATATCATGTTGGGTCTCAAAGGAAGTGAAATGTTATAAAAATTTCAAAAATAATAATCATTTTATACAAAGATTACTAGTTTAAATTTTATGGCTTAAAAACTATCATTTTTCAACAAAAAATAGAGTACATAATTTAAAATTTTTTTTTTTCAATAAACTTTTCGAATTTGTGTTTCCATAAATTGTTTTTGTTATTTTTGAAATTTTTATAAAATTTCACTTCTTTTGAGGCCAACATGATATATTTTTGAAGAGCTTTTTTTTTCAAAGTATAAGGGACCCATTTGATGTTTAAAGGTCTTGAGCGACCCCTAAAAATTTTTTTATTCAAAAATTTTTTTAATTTAGAGTCAATTTATTACATAGAACACATTTAGGGGAGAGCAGCAGACAATTTCAAAAAAAGTTGTTTTTAGAGGCACTCTAATATATATATTAGAGGTTTTTAGAGGCACTCTAATATATATATATATATATATATATATATATATATATATATATATATATATATATATATATATATATATATATATATATATATACATATATATATATATATATATATATATATATATATATATATATACCTTCAAAGCATCTGCCGAAGAGCATTTTATGTATGCAAAGATTTTAAAATATACGTAAAATGTTAAGATTATTTACAAATATAATAGATTCAGACAAAATAAAAATAATAAATTTTGAATTTTTATAAAGCTAATTTTATTATCGAAATATAAAAATAATCAAAATATTCAACTACAGAAGATAAACTTGTCTATTGTTTTAATACAATGTAAATAAACGAAATGTAAAAACATTACTCTAAGCAAGTGTGTATAAAATAATCTAGCAAGCATGTGAATACTTATTTAGACAATGTTAGTTTTATAAGTTACATTTGTTGGAAATAAAGCATTACTTTAAAAAACCTTACTTTTAAATAACTTACTTTGATTCTTTAAAATTTAGTTGTTTGGTTTCTATATAATAAATAATTTTATCACTTGACAAGTGCAATGTTATTAAAAGCATGTATGCTTAAAATAAAGCTATATATAAAATAAGCTATATATAAAATATATTTCTCATACTTAACCATGTAATACTTAGGTTTAACTTCATTGGATTTAAATTTTAGCACATATTTTTAAATATCTTATTTAATAAGCAGATTTTTACTTTTATACCAGAATTGTTTAATTTTGTACCTATAAAGCTTTATAGTACTTTTTTTATTTTATTTCATAGAAATGAAATTCTTTGTAAACATTATAAATATATACAAAGCGTTCATTAAAGTTGTTTAAATAACACAAGCATATATCAATCATTTTGTAAGAAAAACATTTTTTAGTTCACATAAAATTGTTGGTAAAAAAATTAACTGTAAAAAAATTAACTATAGCTTGTTTTTTTTTTTTTTTCTTGCTGTATTCAAAGTTTTTAGTTTATTACACGCTGACTTTTAAAAAATAAAAAATAATTGTTATTTTCAAAACTTTAAATACCTATTCATAAAATAAAACTTTTTTATTTATTTAGTAATTTGACAAAACATGATTGTGTCAAGTGTAAAGAAAATAAAAATATATTTTTTGTATTTTAAATAAGCAAAAGCTAAGTAAACATTTGATAACATTAATGTGTGTGTGTCTATATATATATATATATATATATATATATATATATATATATATATATATATATATATATATATATATATATATATATATACATAAGTGTATATATGTGAATAAAGAAAATATCTTTATATTATCATACATAATATTGTATACTTAAAAGAGTGCTAAAACATTTAATAGATGAAGAAGAGCTACACATAGTATATATGTTACTGTTAGCCACAGGAATTAGCTAAATGCTAATGTTTATAATATAATATTGCAACCTCTGAGTTTCAAGAGTTACTACAATCTTCAGGCAACTAGTAAAAATTTAATTTTGCTACCTAAAAGCAAAATTGAATTTTTACTACTTGCCTGAAGATTAAGGTAACACATTAAATTCAGAATTCTAATATTAGATTTTATTATAAACATTAGCATTTAGCTAATTCCTGGTACTGCGTGTAACATAGAAGTTGCTTAATGTATACATATATATTGTTTATTAACAGGTTTATAACAAAATTGACTGTGTATCACTTGAAGAAGTTGATCGCTTGGCAAGAGTAAATCATTCCGTTGTTATAAGGTTAGATGATTTATTATAAATTATTTATAAATGTAATTAATAAGTCATTGATTAGACGCTCAAGGTTTGCAGCTTTTGATTCAATACTTTCTTACTTTTCTTTTCTTTTTCGTTCTTTTGATTCAATTTAAATTGTTTCTTCTTGTTATTTTTATATATCTGCATCTGAATAATTAACAACTTTAATTTAATTTTAATTTTTCAAGAATAATGATTATAAGTAATAAACAAAAATGATTGGCTAAAAAATATTGTTATTGTCTGATATTGTTTATTATTTTTGTTATTACTATTAGTATTTTTAATAAGCAGACCAGTTGCTGAGTTTTAGCAGACCAGTTGCTGAGACTGCATATTTCTGTCTATGATTTTAATTGCTGCAATGTTACAAAGATAATGATAAAGAGTGCATCAAAAAGTTAAACTTAAGCTGAAAACTTATACTAGTTATTCAGATGAAAGATTTTAATTGGTAATAAACATGTTTTTAAAACATTTTGTAGACTTTAGTGAGAAAATAAAAAAATCATGCTAAAAGACTTCAATAAAATGCTCATATCAAATCTGGCGTTTGTAACTGAAAACTCTTTTTTGAACTGTAAACTCTTTAATTAAATGCAAAAGATTTTCTTATTTATTAACTGAAATATTTTTTTTAAATTCATCAGAAAACATTTTTGGTAAACAGCGAACTATTGGTTGCAATAACTATAATTCTTACCTTAAAAACACTGGCTTCAATAAAATATTATAAAATCTCAAGTTATGATTCAATCCATTTGTGGGAATGTTAGACAGCATACTAAATGTTAGACAGCATACTAAAGATAAATGATAACACACCCATTTCCAAGAAACTTGGAATAAAGAACATTCCACCATTTCTCATGTAAAACCCTACTTCATAAAGTGGAACAGCTTTTTTTATTAGATTATCAATAGATATTAATTGTCTCCTCTATAACACTTTAACAAAATTCGAAATAAGATTCTTTTCTAATTTTTATGTTAGTTTGTTTCAAAATCAAACTCTTTTTTTTTTATTTTAACAAAACCTACATTTTACTGCAACACTAGTTACTAATAAAACTCAAGACTTTCAAAATATATCATACATTATTATGTAAGAAGAAAAAACACAATAATTAAAGTGCATTATAAATAGTAATTTAATTATTTAAATATTAAGCAATGAAAATAGCTGTTTGATATACACCTGCAACTATAATACTAGTTTAGGCAAAATGTTTCTGTCTCTCATAACTAGAGTTATTCTATATATCTGCATAGATTGATACTATTGATGAGAGGAAAAATGATCAGGTATCTGAAATCTCTCAGCTAACAGAAATATTTTTCTTGCTTTTTTTATTTCGGTTTTTTTATTGTTTTTTTTTTTTTTTGATAATTGTAAAAATTCTGTTTTTGTTATTTTTGTTTTGTTGTTAAAATTTTATATTTGCTTTGCATGTGCATAAATAAAAAGCATTGTGATGAAATAAAGTTTTAGCAGTTTCTTTGTCTAGTTCTGTTTCAGGAAGGTCACAAATTTGATGAAAATTGGACTTAACAAAGCAGTTTTAGTAATTGCAAAGCCAATACTGTCAATTTTTAGATTTTTTTTTTTTTTTCATATTTTATTTACTATTCAATATTTATTACTATTTCAATCCAATTAACAAGTTTTTCCCACTATCCTACTACCAACAAATTTTTGTTCTATTTAAGTCTTTGATGAAAATATTTGAAAAAATGTGATTATCATGGTTATTAAATTTTTCCACATTTTAAATATTGATTTTTTTAAGTTAAAGATATTAATATCAAATAATTATCTTATGCAAACAGGGTTCCCAACAATCTTGAAAAGTCCTGTGGGGTTTTTTTCAGCAATTTTGAAAAATCATCAAAATTGTTTGGAATTTTCCATAATATATATTTCATTGAAACATATATTATGGAAAATTCCAAACTTGAAGCACACAATAATAAATTCAATTTATTATTGTGTGTTTCAAGTATTTTAAACTAAAAGTCCTAGGCTCGAATTAAATGATCATGAATTACAATACCTAAAAATATTTCTAACCATTAAATTTTTAGTTTATTAAAAACCGTGAACACTGTTATAATTAAATCTACTAATACTGCAAAAAAAATAACAGTCAAAACTTACATATTTTGATTATTGTTTTTTTAAACACCAGGTAATTTAAAGATTATAAATAAATCAAAAAATTGAAAGACAAAATTTATTATTACTAAAGGTCTGAAAAGTTTGCTCTGTAATTTAAAAATCACCAATAAAATATTATGCTAAAGCTATTTGCGCATTTTATGAAACAGTTTATGAAAGTTTAAGGAATTATTTAAAAATTTAAATATTTAAAAATAGAAATTAATAAATTGAAGAAAAATAATAATAAAAAAGATAAATTTTAAAATAAGTTATTATAGTTTTGTTTAACTATAAAAAGTTAAAATTAGTTTTTATTATTTATTTTTTTTCTTTTTTGTTTTTAATTTTTTATATCTGCAAAAGAGCATATAATTTATAAGAAAATATTGAATAACATTTATATAAGATACAAAAGTATTTTATATCTTATTTAACAATTTCTTTTATTTTTTACTTTATTTGAAATATGCAAATTTCTTTAGATTGATGTTGTTTTTTAATAATTTTCAATTATTAAAAAAAAAATTATTAAATAATTTTTAATAGTTATTAAACTTTATCGTGCTTTATTTTTCTAGTTTTATCTGATGATAAATTTCTAATAAAAACAATAGTAATTTGGTTTTACAATAAGATTTTATATCATAATTCAACATAAATATTTTTTATTGAAGCTATTGATATTATGATCAAGCAGTTTTACGGTTTTTAAAAAACTGAAAGTTCAAAGACCAGAAATATATCCAGACATCGCATTTCAGGGTCACTTAAATCAAGTTTTGAAGTTTTTGATTAAAATACCAAGCCATTGTTAAGATATTGTACCATCATTAATTTTTTATTTCATAACTTATATACAGTTTTTGGGATACATAACCTGCAATATGTTCTGAGCATGTCTTTTCCAGAGAGACTTTTTTTTTTTAATTTTTAATTTCCACATTCAAGTTTGAATGGCTCAGTTGTATACTTTTGGTGAAGTAAAAAAAAATTCTTTCTAGTCAGTATATTTTGAATCCATAATCGTGTATTTTTGTTCAAGTTAACTATAGATTATAAACAAAAGGTTGCCATTACTGACAATCTTTTATAATCTATATGCCTTTTCAGACCATTTTTAAATAACTTTTAGCAGTCACTACAATTTAAAGTCTCTTCATATCCTTCTAAAGCTGCTGTTTCAATAAATTAATTTATTGAAACAGCAGCTTAATTTTTTAATAAAATAAATAGCATTCCAAGTGATTTCTTTTCATAAAACTCCATAGCACTTGCAAACTTCCACTTTCCATAAAAACCTAAATGTTTTTTTTGCTTTTTCAGCAGCCTAAAGGTACATTTTTGACATAAAAGTTCAAACAATCAATAACAATTGATAACAAGATAATCAATAATAATTGATATTCAATAACAATTGCCTTTTAGACTTTTAGACTATTTGTTTTTAGACTATCTATTCTTGAGACTATGATTAAATACAGACAGTTTTACTTTTTAGTTTTAGTTTTTTAAAATTAAAATTCAGCAGTTTTGCAAAAACTTATAAAACTTGTCTATATCTATATGGCAAAAAAAAAATGTTTTCCAGATCAAAAGATATAATATATATATATATATATATATATATATATATATATATATATATATATATATATATATATATATATATATATATATATATATATATATATATATATATATATATATATATATATATATATATATATATATATATTAGGGTGCCAATTAAAACAACTTTTTTTTAAAATTGTCTGCTTCCACCCCCTAAATGTGTTCTATGTAATAAATTAACATTAAATAAAAAAAAAAATTTTAAGGGTTGCTCAAGACCCTTAAACATCAAACAAGTCCCTAATATTTTGAAAAAAAAAGTTCTTCAAAAGTATGTCATGTATATATATATATAAATATATATATATATATATATATATATATATATATATATATATATATATATATATATATATATATATATATATATATAATCAATTTTTTTGTTATTGCTTTGTTTTTTAAGAATTCAAGTATCTATTTGTAGAATACGATAATATAATTTACACATATATATATATATATATATATATATATATATATATATATATATATATATATATATATATATATATATATATATATATATATATATATATATAAATATACACACACACACAAAAGTGTTGATTAAATAATGGTTTTTAAACACAATTTTTTCAGTTGTAACTATAAGTTGAATCTTGACTATCTGTGTGAACAAATATGGGAACATTTAGCTCTTCGTAGAATTTATACTAAAAGAAGAGGAGGTAAAAAACTCTTTCTATAATTTGAAATTAAATGTTCATCAACCCTAATCTAATTTAGTTATTTACTTATCTTCACCCATTTTATGTAAATTGAAATTTAAATTAGAATTATTTGCATTTGAGAGAACTTTACATTATTTTAGAAAATTTTTAACTTAATTGATTAAAGGTTTATTGATGTTAAATATAATTATTGTATTATTCTAGAGCCTCCAGATTTTAGTGAAGCAATTATCATGAGGAAAGGTGCGACTGTGGAGCATGTGGTTAGAATTATTCAGAATCATTTTTTATATATATATATATATTTAGCTTATTTATTAAATCTAGTTATACATTTAATATAATGGTTATAAATAAATACATAAATATTAAGTAAATTATATTATAAAAAATATACATTAACATAAAGTAAAGTTGATAATTCTCTTCTTTTTTAGTGTCATCGCATTCATCGTACTTTAGTTGATCAATTCAAATATGCTCTTGTTTGGGTAAGTAGTGCAAAGTAATTTTTTTACACACATAATGTATGCATGCATGTTTTACATAAATTTATGTAGCGTTCAGCATTTAGTTTTTTTTTATATAATAATTTAAAAGAAAAATGAGAAAAATAAATTATGGAAATTTGGAAGAAAAATAAGAATAATAGTTATACAAATTATTAATTACAATAATAATTAAACCAATGATAATAATTATACTTATTAATAATTAGTTATTTATAATAATTTTTTAGAAACTGAAAACCCATATTTAGTTAATAAAAGATAAAAAAAAAGTTAATTTTTGTTTTGAATAAATTATTTGTATTTGAATATTTCCTCCGCTGTTGACATGCATACTTTTAGGTTCCTTTCCCTCCCTCCCCCTATTAACAAAACAATCATTAATTTTGATGCATCTTGATTGATGTCAAGTATGTTTGCCCGATTTTTTAGTGTCTTTTAGACATAAGTTTATACCTTTATTTTATGCAGCTTGTATTATTGACCCAGACAAATTTGCTGATTCACTGTCATATTATGGAGCAACATATTGATATTAGATCTATATAGCCTGATAGCATCACTGCCTTTACTCGTGGCTGAGATTTAAAGCATTTTGTTTCAATTGAAAAAATTAAGTTTCACATTTGTACTCCAAAAGGTCAGGTAAAACCTATATTTAGATATCTATCTAACAGGAATTCATGCATCTCATTATTCAGCATATAACAAGGTTGAACTGGGTATGGCTCCACTAAGTCAAGAGTTAGCAGGATTGGTTTTGCCACATGATCATTCTGGGACACATCATTTAGATGTGTCCCAGAATGATCATGTGGCAAAACCAATCCTGAAAGACAATTAAATTAAGAAAAAAAAAATTTGATAAAACTGTAGAAACTCTAGTAGTTATTGATAACTATTTAGGTTATGCTGAGTATGTTGAAACTTCCTAACTGCCCTCTTTACAGAACAAGATTCAAAATGAGTTGCAAATCAAGTGAGACTAAGTCAATATTTTTTCATGATTGTTAAGTGTGATGCTCTGAGTTTCTGTAAAATCCTGGAAATAATACTTTTCTCAACATTTCCTCAAGCCAAAGATAGCACGAAATATTCTTAAACCTTACTTTTCTTCTCTACTGCAACCTTTGGGGTTTATAGGTTCAAAAATTTCAATGGAAGCTTCCTTTATTTGTACTGTTCATCAATTTCACAACAAAAAGTTAATCTGCAAAACCTACAAAAGTTATCATGCTTCTAAAGCAAGTGTTAAGCTTCACAAATGTGTATTTAGTTAAATAATCAACACTTCTTCTGAGGAAAATAAAAACAATGGTGAATGTTACTCATTGATTAACTGTTAATTAAAGTAATTTGGATCAAATTCATGTTGTAAAAGATATATTTGTCGAAGACATATTTAACAAAACCCCTTCTAAATCAAACATTTACATTGATAACAATTTAAATTAACAATAGATTAAAGACAGGTTATTGATGTAATTTTGTTATGTGATATATTTATTCAAGAAATAATAGCTATGTTCTCATATTTTATTTATTTTATTACCATAACCAGCCTCCTCATCTGTGGTGGTCTTCTCGGCTTTGGGGAGGTGAATTACAAAAAAAAAAAAAAAAACTCCCACAAACAATATAAATGTTTGTATTTGTATAAGATGGACTACAAACATGTCTTCCTCGCAGTAGTTCTCTTACTTTAATTGCATATAACAACATATGTGGAGGGTATGTAAAAAACAGCATACAAAGTATAATATAAAGCATAACTACCAAGTGGAACATAAAATGTGTTTATTATTACAACTACTGTGAAAATTTTCTGAAAGAAAAATGAAAGATTGCAACAGTTAGTGATCAGAATTTTTCTGTTTAAGTATTGAAAAAAATTTAGTTCAAATTTTTGAACAATCTTTTTTGTTATTTTCTTTAGTATGAGAAAGTGGAGGGCAAAGCTCCCCATAATGAAGTTTGTGCCTCCTATGGAATGCAAAAAAAAATGTTAAAAACATTGTTTTTTCTAAATGTTAAAAGATGCAACTGGTTAATTTTAAGATCTATTTTACCAAAAAAAAAAAAAGAGCAGTACAAGTCACAAAGCAAATATAACGACTAACGATTTTTCAGAGTACTCTTGACAACAATATTATTTTCAGTTTGTTATCAGTTACCACTCTTGTTGCTCTTTCTATCTGGTTGGCTAACTTTAATTATTATTTATAGTTCTTTGTTCTTGCTTTTTTTTTTATATTTTATTGGTTGCTATTGAATACATTTAGAATATAATTTTTATTATATACAAGAAGTTTATAATTTGTATTGTATATAAAAGGAGTATAGTTTATTATAGTTTATATATAAATTATGTTATTAGTATTAATTGTTATGTTTTTGACAGGGAAGCAGCACAAAGTATAGTCCTCAACGTGTAGGCCTATCTCATATTCTTGATGATGAAGATGTCATTCAAGTGATGAAGAAGTAGCAAAGGTTGTTAATTTTTTTTTTTTTTGAATTAAAAAAGCTAATGTTATTTTAACTTATATATATTTATTTAAAACTATATTCAAATGCTTTTGTTATTTACAGTGGCCAAGTTTTGTAGAGGTTAGAGAAAAAACTAGAAAATTTTATAAAGTCGCTTAATTAAACTTTTTTTTAACTTAATATTTTTATAAAAACATTTCTAACTTTAATAATTGAATACTTCTTTATATCCAAATTTTTAAAACATCACAGCACTTCTTTATCTTTCTTAACAATTCTTTTTAAACATTAAAGCTGTTCAATATATATATATATATATATATATATATATATATATATATATATATATATATATATATATATATATATATATATATTAGGGCGGTTCTTAAAGGACCATAAAAAGTTGTTGTCTTACCCCCTCATTTGGTTCTAATATATATTTAAAAAATTCAAGCGTTGGAGATCTCGAGACTCTGACAATGTTAGCTTGAATTGATTTCAAAAAAGCCAAACTTTGATGCTGTAGATGTAGAGGCCGCCCCAATAGCTGTTCAAGAAAGATGCAGGCACCAGACAATTAACTAGTGTTGGAGCTGGTTGTATTAAAACACATACTACAGACTAATTCTTCTAGCTCCCATTTTTGTAAGGCATTATGTACCGCTTATGCCTCTGATTGATCAGTATCTACAAAGCAAAGATCTTCAGCAAATTATATATTATATAATACAGGGTGTCTGCCAGATCAGGGAAATCAGGGAAAACAGGGAAAAATCAAGGAATTCAGATATCTTCAAAAATATCAGGGGATTATCAAGGAAATTGGGTTAATTTTTGGAAAAATCAGGGAGAAATCAGGGAAAAAAGCTCTTTAAAAAACTTACATAACTTAAGTAAGTTGTGTATGGTACACGTAATGTAAAAGTTTATTTGGTAAATAGTTTTAAGAACTTCTCTTGATACATTTAATATATATATATATATATATATATATATATATATATATATATATATATATATATATATATATATATATTAAAGTGGTCCTTATTTTTGAATTCAAAATTTGATTGTCTGAACCCCTAGTTATGTTCCAATATATATAAAAATAATTCAGACATAAGAATTTTGCAAAATGAAGCCATTTGGATCAAACTATAAATAAAATTAATATATGTAAATAAACAGATTTCAACCAACAAGTAAAAATAAATATTTTGTGTCGGTAAGTATTATATATAGTTGAGTACAATATAATAAAAATACTAATAGTAAATATAAATACAATTTTTTAATGTTTAGATAAATGAATTGTTAAAATATTTTGTTATAAAATAATTTAATATTAGCACATCTTAAAAATAATAATAGTAAATTTTTTCTCTCTCTTTGAAACTTTTGAAGAGAAACCATGCCTGACTAAAAATAACATTTTTTTACTTTACAATTATGTTCATATATGGAAAAACAAAATTGAAATAATTGGATTACTGACAAAACTCAAGAAATTCATTTTAAGGACAATCATGATAATTTAATTGCAAGGTGGGATGATCTTAAGAACCTTTACAACTTAGAAAGTAAGACACTTGTAACTCTTTCACATTTAAATATAGCTTCAATCTTCCCAAAACCTGTTGAGAGAAAAAATGTTTTTTTGTCTTTAAGAGTTTTTTGTGATGAAACATTTTCTGCATTAACAGCACATCCTAAAATAGACCAAACCAATATTAAAGGAACTGTTATATTTATAAAAAAGTTTATAGATGCATGGAAAATTATTAATCTTCACAAACTGGGTGTTGATAAAAGGTTGAGAGACCCATTGCGCTCTGTCATCGAATCACCAGATGATCTTCGTCAGCAACAGCTACTTTCATTATCACAAATCTATGAAGATATGGGTTTCTATAATGGAAAAAAAAGAATTAAAACACTGACTGTTGAAACATCTATAGCAATAGTCTATACCTTAAAAGGAATAGTTGAATTAACAAAATATTTGTTAAGTACATCTCACGAATTTGTAAAACTTGGTGACTTTACATCTGACCCTATTTAAAAAGTATTTAGTAAGTTGCGTCAAGATGCTGGTGGTGCTTATTTTATTTAGACAATTTTTAGAAAAAGCTAAAATTGAGCTCACAAAACTACTTTTACAATATGGTTCAGACTTTCGTGAGCTTCATGTTGGTCATACTTGCATAAACTGTCAGAGGCAACTAACACAAAAGGAAAGTGGAGTATTTAATTATTAGAATCTAGTTTAAATGATGCTTTTATAATGGCTTTAGCATATTTTATTTTTAGTCAGCCATGGCTCTTCAAAAGTTTTAAAGAAAGAGAAAAAATTTACATTGACTTTATTATTGTCACATGTACTCACAACACACTTTCCATTTGCATTGCTGGTTACCTTCAATTTAAGATTGGTTATGAAGATCTTGACACTGATACATATTCATATTGTAATGAGTATGGTGCTTATCTCAAAGACTTAGATAGAGGTAGTTTGACAAAGCCAACTGACATTCTATGTCAATTTACTTTCTTTTGTTATGTACTTTTTATTGCACTGGATCTGACTTTGCCAGTTTGTTTGCATTCCTTATCTGTTTGCATTACTTTGAATCAATCGACAATTTATATATTTTGGGTTATTTTAAGAATATATGTATGAAAAGTTTTAAAAATTTGTTGAATATTTTTTAAAATAATTATTCAAAGCTAAACACTCCACGCCCTTACAAGGAGACAGCTCACAAAAAAACAAACTGAGTGATTAAATTAAAACTTTTTTTTTTTTTTTTTTTTGACTTAAGTAAATTTTTTTTGACTTTGTAAAATTCTTGTAAAACTCTTGAATAAATTATGTTTCATTGAAATTTTGTAATATTTTCTCTTCAATAAATATAAAATAAGTATGCCTTTAGTTAGCAAGTTAGATAACAGTTGAAATTTGTTAAAATATTTTATAAATCAAAATTAAGTCTAAATCAAATTTTTACTAATCTGCCTCCAGTTTTTAAGTTTTACCGCTCGTGTAATAGGCCTGTGTTTTAGATAGCCGTGGTTCAAACCCAAAAAAATATCCCAGGATCATGTCTGATTTTTTTCTGGAACCGCACTGACTCCTATTTCCAGAAAAACATAATTTTCGAAATCCATTTAAAAAAGTAACATTTCTGTAAAATGTAATATCCATTATTTTACCTTATATGTTGCAATAAATATTTTTTTCACTTGTGAATTATTCCAAGGCTAATATATTTTAATAGCTTTCAAAGTTCCAAAATTTTCATAAGAGACAGGTTTATTTTGATGGTGAATTAAATACAATGTTAAAAAACCTTATGTATTAAGTTAAGTTTAATATCTTTACAAGAATGTTTGAAAGTTATAGAATATTTACATTTTAAATATCTATTTATATGACACATAAAACTATTTTAAGACTGGATATTATTTTTGTATATTGTATTATTTTTTCATACATATATATCAATGCAAGATTTATAAATATAATATATATACATATATATATATATATATATATATATATATATATATATATATATATATATATATATATATATATATATATATATATATATATATACACAAATATTATATTCAAAATAAGCGTATTATTCTACTTCTTTTGAGTACCAGGTTGATATAGTTATAATTTTAGAATCCAAATTGGAACCTCTAAAACTCATTTAAATTAAAAAAAAAAAAAGTAAGGTTCTTTTTTCACCAAAAGACACCAATTCGCAATTTTCAAAAAATTTTTAAATCGATCCACCCTAATATATATATATATATATATATATATATATATATATATATATATATATATATATATATATATATATATATATATATATATATATATATATATATATATATATATATATACAGTATCGGACTAAACAAGTGCAACTCCACAAAATGTTGACCAAGCTGTATTTCCTATCAGTATTTTGTGGCGAATCCTTTGTTGTCGATCACAGCCTTGCATCTTCGAGGCATAAATTCGATCAGGTGATCAATGAAACTTTGTGGAATCGCTGCCTAGGCCTTTTGGATTTGTTCAAACAGTTGATCTTTATTATGAACAATTTCACAATTAATTCTGCGGTTGACGATCTCCCACAGGTTCTCGATAGGGTTGAGATCCGGAGATTGAGGCGGCTAATCCATCACCGATAGGTGGTTGTCTTGAAACCACTGCTTGACTACTTTTGCAGTGTGTTTCGGATCGTTATCTTGCTGAAAAACCCATTTTATTGGCACATTCCATTCAGCATGAGGTAACATAACATCTTTCAGGATATTTTTATACATGAAACGGTCCATTATTCCATTGATTCAATGTATTGGACCTAGACCGTTAGCAGAAAAACACCCCCAGACCATTACATTGCCTCCACCATGCTTCACGGTCTTATGGCAGTAACGTAAATCGAGGCGTTTTCCGGCCGGTCGACGTACACGGCAAATACCATCGCTCCCAATGATGTTGAACTTTGATTCATCACTGAACAGGATAGTTTGCTAATATGAGATGTAGCAAACAGGAGTCTTTTCTTCTGGTTCTTTAGTGAAATCAGTGGGATCTTTGCAGGGTGTCGAGAAAACAATCCGGCTTCAACAGCACGTCGTCTGATTGTTCGGTCCGATACAGGCAGCTCTAATTGCTTTTGTATCTCAACTGATGATATCTAGGGATCTTTCTTGACGGATCTGACGATCATAGAATCCTCTCTAGAAGTGGTGGAACGCGGTCTTCCACCTTTGTTATCTGCTGCCAACCTCCCCGTAGAACGATATTTGGAACATAGTCTTGATACGGTCCATTTTTTCACGCGATATTTATCACAAATACCTTTTTGTGACATTCTACTTACGTATCGCCAATAATTTTCTTTCTTAGTTCGAATCCATGACTGTTGGGAACCATTTTTGCACTTGAAGTCATAAAAATTATAAAAAAT